AGGTTCGTTCCCTGGCGGAACCGTACTTTTTTTTTCAAAAATGACCTTGGCTCCCAGGTCGAACCAGCCTTGAGTGGGTACTGGGTGCAGTCCCGGTAAGTAAAGGTGGCCGGTATGATGCTAAACACATCACTAATCTTGTACCGATCGGTCTATAAAAATTTTGGTCTAGCCCTATATGCTTTATACGCCTAAAGGCGTGGAAAAGGGTCCTTTACTTTCTTCTTTACTTTACTACTTGTAAACATATTTGTGTCATAGATTTATTTTTAGCACTCTAAACAGGCCACCAGAAATGAGCCAGTCACTTGGTGTGGCATTCCTTTCACGTTTAAAATATCAAAAGTTAAAATGAAAAATATTTTTATTAACAGAAAATATATTAATATCTATAGAGATAATGCATTAAAAATGAAAACTGTAAACTACGCTAGGTACAGAAACCTGGATAATTCACAAGCAATTAGAAAGTTGAATGTCGCCTGCGAGATGTGAATATACAGATAAATAGGTCATATTTCACGAAAATAACAGAATTAAAAGAGAGTTGTTAAAGAAAGTCACAAGAAAAATTTAATACTTTGAAAGAGCTGATTCTGTTAAAAAGAAATACTGGAGGCAATTGTGGAAGGCAGCCACACAAGAGTTAGACAGTGATACAAGTGGGACGATAACACCAAGAGATAAATTATATGAGACAGTCTCTTTAACTAGAAAGACAGAATTAGGGTGTTCAAAATTCACTACTTTCAACCCTCATTGTGGAACCACCTGCTTGATGGACTGGAAAAATATATTATTTTGAAGAATACATTTTTCAAGAATTTAAAAAATCTCACTTGAACTATGTCTAACCAGAGCAATTTTCAAATCTGTTAAAAAATTAAATAATATAGCAAATTCTAAAATCTGACTCACAATTAAATAAAACTAGAGCAAATTATCAACCCTTACTCAAAATTTAAATCAGGTTTGGGCAAAAACTCAAATCTGATTGAAATGAGAACAAATTTTCCCATCTGGCTTTAAAAAAAAAAAAATTAGAGCAAATTCACAAATCTGACTCAAATGAGAGTACATTCTTAAACCTGTTTAAAAATTAAATAAAATTAGAGCATATTCACAAATCTGTTTCAAAATAAAATCAAACTAAAATAAATTATCAAATCTTACTTGAAATTTAAATCAATTTAGAATAAAACTCTCAAATCTGACTAAAACTAGAGCAAATTCTCAAACCTGACTCAAACTAAATCAGATTAGAGCAAATTATAAAATCTAATTCACAGTTAAATCAAACTAAAGCAAATTCTTAAAGCTGACTCAAATTAGGGCAAATTCTCCAATGAGATTCAAAATTAAATCAAACTAACACAAATTCTCTAATCTTACTCCAAATTTATTTATATTCAGAACAAATTCTCAAAATCACTCAAATTTTAATATCAGAGCAAATTCTGAGGACCAGACATAACACAGCCCAGCACAATAAACGGTGGATCTGTTTCCAGATTTTACTTACTTTCATCCAAGTCTGCAGAGAAACGATTGAGGATAATACCAAGTGGAGTTGCATCAAAGAACTTCATTGGGCTTTTCAACGTCTTCTCTATCAACTTCTTGTGCAAATAGCTGGAGGCTCTCAGGAGAATCTAAGAGTGAAATATGATCATGTAAGAAAACTGGCTTCTATCAAATAAATGTCACTTTCCTGCCTGCCTGAAGATCTTGGGTTCAAATTCACATAAAGACTGACTTTAGAAATGACTTGGGCTCCTAAGTTGACCCAAACTAAACTAGGCACTGGGGACTTTCTTGGGATGAAGATATGGCAAAGGCAGCATCCGATATAATGCAACATATTTTATGCAAATTTTTTCTTTGCTAACTGAGGCGAGAAAGAGAATTATGAAGAACTATTCAAATCCTATCCTGATATATGGTAATCAATCATGGACAGTTGGGCGGTTAGCAAAAAATTATTTAGAAGTGGCAAATATGGATGAATATAGATGAATGATGGGAATACCATGGATAGATAAACATAATAATGAAAATATCTTGAAAGAAACTGATTTACACAGAGAACTGATTGTCCATGTCAGAATTAGACCATGTCATGAAAAGGGAACTACCTCGTGATCTGTAGAAAAATTGGACAGGAAAAGAGTAGACAGACAGAAGATGCTGGACAGTTTGGCATCTTTCATTGCATGGAAGATCATCTGTATCAGAAGTCATTGAAAGTACACAAGACAGAAGATTGTGGATAGACATGGCTACCAATGCTGCAAGACATGAACTGTAAGAAGAAGAAGAAGGAGATGATCAATTTGATAACTAATGAGCACAACGTACATGGATGTACCTTCAGGTCAATAAAAATATGAGTCTAGCATAGTATACTAGAAATGCCAGTGGAGTTAAGTTTCTTTATTCATTGTAGATTTTCATCAGTTGATTGATTACAGTGAAGTTAATGCTATTGCAGATATAGATAATCTACTTCAAGCAAACAAAAGAAGAAGAAGAGGAAGTTGATTAATTGACTAGTTGATGAACCCAGTTCCTCTATACATCTATTGATCTTTAACTCATTCAAAACCAAACAATTACCCATGTGTCTGTAATTCTTAACAATATTTGCTTTTCTCAGCTCTGTTTCAACATTTACTCACTCTAACCTTTAACTCCATTTAAGTAGAGTTTAAACTCTAGAGTCAGGATTTGGTCACATAAGACTGAGCTACAGTATAGCAGTGGTTGGGACTACTAGTTCTCTGTTAATACCGAATGTTGGGTGGCAAATACCAAACCTGAATCCCACACTGTGTCAGTGGCTTACATTAGAGGAGCACATTGGGAAGGATACTAGCTTTATCCTAGGATGAGAAATGCAACCTGAAAACAATGTTGTGACCAGTTAGGCCTGGCGTTGGCTCGCAGCTATTCTAAGAGGAAAGCTCTGACAGGCATACAGAACACTGCTCTTCTGATCTTTCAGGCTCTGCAGCATGCTCTCTCTCTCTCTCTCTCTCTCTCTCTCTCTCTCTCTCTCTCTCTCTCTCTCTCTCTCTCTCTCTCTGTGTGTGTGTGTGTGGCATGCGCATGCATGTGTGTGTGTCTTTACACTTAGTGTTATTTTTCCTTTGGAGTAAACAAAACAGGCCAAGAAAGGAATCATGCTGCATGGGCAACACAAATGCTCTATGACACTGGGCAGGCTGGCCTTAACTGGTTCACCATGGGCTACGGTTTCCATGCATCTCTTTAAAGCAGAAGTGGGCAAACTATGGCAAAAAATGGCCCACTGAGTAATTTTAAATGGCTTGCTAGGCTGGTGTAAAATTACTTAATCTTCTTTCTTCTTTGAGTTCACCAGCTGTAAACTTTGGTGGAAAGTTTTGTTTGTTCGTCTACTTCTGGACTGCAGTCCTGTTCCAGACCCTAAGTGTTGCGCGTGCTTCCGTTTGACAGATCTGACACATTTGTGAGCAGAGTGTTGGTTTCTTGCCTCTCAGGCAGATGCACTCTGACTTCGAAGGAGGCTCCCAATTAGTCGACTCTTATGACATGCTTTTGGGCAGGCTCTGGGTCTATTCTGGTTTTTCCCTATAATATGGCCCTGGAACCCACACGGGATAAATGACTATATAATCTGGCCCTTGAGCTCACAAAATAAAAATAAACTAATAATACAATATATGGTTTGACTGTCCTTTTTTCTCTGAAGACACATTTAGGAATATACAGAAGGGCTTCAGTGGGTGATTGTGTCTGGCCAGAGGTGTAGTGAGGGATTATTCCATAATGATTCAAGGAAATCTGGGTGTTGTGTTTATAATGGATTTTTTCTTTCTAAATGGCCCACAACCAGGTTGGTAATTCTAAATTGAGTCCATGGATTGAAGAAAAAATGCACCCTCGCTTGTATTAGCACCACTGAACACTACTTACTGTGTAGAAAGATGGAACATTGTTACAAGAAATATCTTAATTACAATGGATTAGTTTATCATTTCTTACAGTATCTTATCCATTCTCACCTATCATCATATGCTATCCATCCTTCATTAACTCAGTTCCATGCAATTTGTCATCTTTTCCCCATTATATTGCAGATTCTTCCATTCACTCCATTCATCCACTCCATTCATCCACTCCATTCATCCAATTCATCCACTCCATTCATCACATTCCTCAATACACCACTCCTCCCTGCAGTATTGAGTTTAAAACTGGCACTGTAGCAACTGAAAAATTCCCGTAAATACACTGTCTCCATTTTCAGCAAGACACATTTTCTACCACCATGTCCCTCTACTGACTCACATATTACAGCTGTCAGCATGTGAACGACCGGACATTAAACCCCCTGATGCTTATAAAGACTTTTTCATGAGGACTTGGACTTCTATTAATTCCCCCTGGTCTCTGGGTAGTGAGATCAGACGCCCGTGTGCGTTGTTACGCACGTAAAAAATCCTTTGGCAGTTGGAAATTAAAAAGACTAGTAGCCTAACGGCATTGACCAGGCAAAATTTTGAATTAAAAATCTACCTAAAGTATTTTAGGATCCTTGCCGGTGCTACATAGCTTGTGCATTGTGCTGAGCTTCTTCGGACTCAGACTTGAGTTAAAAGAAGAACGGAGCATTTATGTGCCACGATGTTGATCTGTTGTTCAAACCTCAAACCTTATGTTTATTAAGGGTGAACAAGTATAAACAAACGATCTAACTGGGTCATATGGGTAAACATCTGACATAACGGCATTTAAGACAAGACTATATTAGCTTTGTCTGCCTTCTCAAAAGCCAGCGAAGAGGATTCCTAATGATATTTTACTTGCTACCTCATCCCCCTGCCTTGTGCAGCTACAATACACCCTTTTCTAGGCGGACCAGTCCAAATAACCTATCTGCCTGCTCATTCCCAAACACACCTGTACAGTCTGAGCAAAAATATCCGTGTGACTATCACCACAATAAATACACTGACCTTCGCAAAAATGAATGAGCGAGCAACCAGAATCACCAGCATGGCCAGAAGAAGCATGCCATACATGAGAGCATAAGTGTCCCTGTCAGGGTTGTTAGCTACACTGTCCCACATCTGACTGTCATCAATGGCTGGTTTGCTGTTCCAAGTCACATTTGGGAGCTGTGACATAAATAACATATGCTTTTCACACAATTGATACATCTGGTATATGATTCCAGATTCATATTTGTAAAGACCAGTTGACATTGGAGCCTTCAAAGTTGCAAACAGTGGAGAACACAGAGTAAGAAGTTACAAAGAAATTCATGAGGGCTCATAAACTGCAGAGGTTGGAGCATAAGAGAGAATGATAGATGACAGAGAGAGAGAGAGAGATTGAGAGAGAGAGAGAGAGAGAGAGAGAGAGAGAGAGAGAGAGAGAGAGAGAGAGAGAGAGAGAGAGAGAGAGAGAGAGAGAGAGAAGAACTGCATTCACAAAAGAGATGAATGGGAGTAGATCACAAGGCAGAACAAGAAGATAAAAAGATAATACATAGGCAAACCCACAAACACTACAGACACTACAAATCAACAAAAGAAGGCTAATCACAGAGAAGAAAGAGCCAGGTGATAACTGCAACAATGAATCTCAGAATGCTGAAGAAGAAGAGAAGGAAGACAAACATGCAGTGGGTGACATGGTCAGCATCATACTGACACCTTTGCTTCTTACTTAGTTTCAGGCAAATGCGAATGGTATTAAGAGATGGAAAGACAAAACAGAACTAAATCCCATAAGCAATGTTATCTGATATTTTATGGCAGAAGATTCGATAATATACATTTTTATTGTTTTTCTATACAGCTCTATTCCTGAAGCAGTGATTTAAAGGTTCAAATATTTAAGCAATAATCTGAAGTTCAGTTATAGTCGTAGTCGTAGTCGTAGGTTTAAACTTCATTACAGTTGGGTCACCCTATACTTGTTCCGTTCATGTGCCAGTGAAAATCAAATGAAATTTGCCTTACTGTCCCGTGAAAAAAGGTAAACAAACAATAAGCCTTAGCACAATCCAGAAATATGGGCATGCAGTAAATGCTTATGGCAGCTGCTAGAGGTGCCAAAGCCAACAGTCACAACCAGAAAAACAGTTTGTTGTTGATGGAAGTAGTCTGACATGATGAGTTAGCTATACACACGTAGAATTATTATATAAGGTATTTCACCAGCCCACAGGTAAACAGGCTACCGGCTATATTGAATACCATTACTCAACTGCTGCACAAATAAAAGGCATTCCACAGGAAAAACACAGCTCACAGGGCTGCACCAAGCACTAAACTCAGTAGCTCAGGGAGCAAAACGGTAGACTGTTCATATGTGGAAATTAAATTAGCAAAATGCTATTGGTAACAGAGAGAGAGAGAGAGAGAGAGAGAGAGAGAGAGAGAGAGAGAGAGAGAGAGAGAGAGAGAGAGAGAGAGAGAGAGAGAGAGAGAGAGAGAGAGAGAGACGCAAGCAAGCACGCACGCATACACACAAAACATCTTTGCAGCTTCCTTTGAAGTTTCCTGAAGTTAGGAAATGAATTAAATCATATTACATTAATTCTTAAAGGAATAATGGCTTCAGTTTTGAACAACTTGATTCCCGAACAACTTTTAGACATGAATTGTTCCAGTACCAAAATAACAAAAGGTAGAATTAATGACTGCAAATAATTAGCTCTGTGACACATCCAGTCACTCGTTTAGGTTAAGTCCTTTGAAAGAACACTTTTGTTCTCAGTTCTAAATAGAACAAGGCACAGAGGAGAAAATTTATAGGTGAAAGAACTGATAAACTCAGTAAAATGTTATGGACAAAACAGAACCCCAGTATCCGAAGAATAAACAGACGTCTCACAAATTGGATTTCCTGTGAAATGCTTCTTTGTCTGCGGTGGTTGGTTTGTGTTATGAACTGCTCATTAAATAATTGTTGGATGGCCAGTTGCTGCTGATTAGTAAATGTCTTATGCAGTAATCAATTTGCAGGCTGCAGGTTTGATCATGAATGCTGTTTTCTGTAACCTTTAGCTTTGAGACAGATTTAAGTCCCCCAACAAGCCTAGTTAAATGTTTAAGGCATTGGTTCTGCTTGCGCCTGCACAGTAGTTATATAGAGGGCCGGATATGAGTTTCGATACTTTAAAAAAAAAAAGAAGAATTTTATGGGAGGGGGTTATTGTGGGGGTGGAGCTATTTGACAAGTAATTATGACTTCATAGTTTGCCTAGGTAGCTTTTAGCAGTTGCATAGTTATGATATGAGTCACTGTGTAAATATGTTAGGGCCCAAGGGAATGCAGTTAATTAATTAGTCTGCTCTTAATCTAATGAACAAGAGACTACATTTCACAGTGTGTAGGAGTTCATGAAGAGGAGTTATTCACACATCACGCGCTGAATTTAACATTTTTAAAAAAAAAACATATATCCAGAAACCATGAGTTCTTAACCTTTTGGCTCAGTACTATGGATATCGCAAACCAAAATAAATACCGCAAATCTGGGAGATATGTAGCTTTTCTGCCTATCCCTGGGCGTGAACCTGGACCACAAGGAGTTTGTCACCCAGACGCCGCACAGTCCTGTTTAACCAGCTGACTTAGCAAGCCGGGCATGTAAAAGTGTTAAAAATGACTATCCTGTGACGCAGCAAACTCACTGGCGATCATTTTACCATCTGACAACTATTTTCATTTGCAAAATATTTATAGATTTCAAAAAAATTATTTAAAAAAAAAAATCAGCAGTTACTAACTCATTGTCTATAAATGTATTGTTTAACCCCCCCCCCCCTTTTCCCCCCCACCAAGGATGCACTATCAGATGCAAATCCTGCAAGAAGCGAATCCCAGAAAAAGCACCTCTGTTGTGGAGATGGCACCTGAATGACTGACTGAAATATCTTACCCTCTGACCCGAGCCCTGGTTCAGCCAGTAGGCCAGGTAACCAGTAGTTGCTGACTGAATGGCAATGCTGACCATAAAACTGATGAGCAAGAACACAAAGATATGCAGGCCACCCATGGCTTGTATGTACACCCAGTAGGTTCCTGGCCTAATTCGACAGTTAGGCCTTCTCTGTGACACAACTAGATCTTCCATATCCACTAGAGACAAGAAATAAAATGTGACTGTTAGCGCTATCATAGTTTAACACATACAAACACACACACAAAAACAGGAAATTTCCATCATCAACTTTTATTTAATATATTTAAAAAGCAAGCTAAAAGATACTGGTACAAGATAGGACAAATGTTGAGAAAACCTGATAACAATATAACTTGAATGTGTTTAAACTGCAATCAAAGGGATCACATAAATAAAAGTGAAGAAAAGATCTTTTTTTTTTTACACCTTTAGCCGTATTGGGCATATGCGAAGAGCACCTATACTTTTACTGACCAATCGGCACTAGGTGGGTAATGTGGTCAGCATTACAACGCCTGTCTTTACTTCCCTAGGACAAACATCCTGGTACCCATTTTAGGCTGGGTCAATCTGTGACACCTGATACCATAATAAAAAAACCACGCAGCCAGCAGTAGGTTTTGATCGCGGTACATTGGAATTACGAGTCAGACTTGCAACGCCTAAATAAAAGCAGACTAAATACAACAATTGCAGAAGGGAACAAAGAGAATTAAATTTAAAAGATGGAGAGAATGAAAAGGGTGGGGGAGGGGGGAGAAGCTGCAGACAACAGCAAAGGATAAGAGGGTCTGAGTTGGCTGGGCGTCTATGCTCCTTTGGGGGATAAAGGAAGGATGAAGAGGAGGAGAATAAAAAGCAGCGTAAAAGTTTTTTTCTTCTTCTTGTGCCCTTTAACCTTTAATACAGAACATCTCCATAATGACAACTGCTAATACCCACACACACACACAAAATATGATTACAAAAAACAATAACAAAACAAAAAAAATTTACACACCCAAAAAAAAAAAAAATTACAGAAATTATGAAAACCACATAGAAGTTCATTTTAGCACAAGAGAGAAAAGAATGTACTAACAATTCTCATACTCAGCACTGATACTGTTGGAAGATACCACACTAAACTGTTGCTGAACACCAACTGGCATTGACATCATGCTTAACTGGCGGTTCAAGTTTCGCTTGGAGACCCGAGAAAATCCACGTTGTGGAACAGTTCGCACTGAAAAATAATAAATACATAAAACAGAATAAGCTGCAAATATAAAACACATATGGTTACAATTGTTCCGCATTTTAATTTTCAATATACTATTATGAATAGGTATCATGAAATAAATGTTTTGGTGTATACTATTTATCTGTTATCAGTCTCTGGTGTTTATTGTTTAGATATCTACCTCTCATGTTTATTACTCATATGTTTTCTATCTTTGTGGTGTTTATTGTTCATATGTTGTCCATTTCTGGTGTCTATTGTTCATATTTTATCTGTCTCTAGGGTGTTTGGTGGGCTCTGTGGCTAAGTCGATGTGAACGCTTCGTAATGCTGGAATGCCGGGTTCGATCCCAGCTGCGGGCCATGTGGCTTGCATTGGTTTTGACTGTGGTATCAAGAAAGCCGACCGTCCAGAAAGCAATGGCAAACTACTGGACGTTAATTTGCCTAGAAAAACCACACAACAGCCAGGGGCTGTTGGGGTTGGTTCTGCAACGTCCTGTAAAGGATACGCAACTAACCTAGGGTGTTTATTGTTCATATGTTAACTGTCTCTGGCACATTTATTCATATGTGGAGTCACTGGTGTTGATTGTTCATATGTTGTCTGTCTCTGAAGTTTACTGTTCATATGTTGTCTGTTTCTGGAACATAATTCATATGTTGTCTGTCTCTGTGGTGGTTATTATTTATATACTGTCTGTCTATGGGTTGTGTGTTGTTTATATGTTGTCCATCTTTATCCTATAACTAAAGGAAACTGATCTGTAGACTACTTTTGTTGACAAACCTGAGAAGTAGCCACGGCTCTGATTTATCTGTTTTTGCTTTAATCCTTAACCTTTCTGTACTGACATTACTTACTTTCACTCTTTTTGTCCCGGTACATCATCCTTTCTTTGAGGATGCGATCATATTTGTTGTTGTAGAGAGAAAACAATTCTTGATAAGGACTGCCTGAACTCATTAGTTCTGCATGAGTCCCAAAGGACACCACATGGCCTTCATTCATGTACAAAACTTTGTCACACTTTGGCAGGTACTGAAAATAAATAATTCTTATAAAAAATAGTTACAGTAGTTACTAGAGCTTTAATAGAAAAGACACAATATGAAATAAGGTTACTATATATATATATATATATATATATATAAACTTGATTTGTGGAGAGATTTTCCTGCCCTGATCTTAGACCTAGATGAGAACAGACATGGCTGGACCTGGATTCAGCTTTCCCCCACCTTCTATAAACTAATCCCACTGCAGAAATTCACATCAAAGGAAATATTTCTATAGAATTTACTGCAGTACACAGAGTGCATTATGATGAAAGCCAGGCTGGAAAAGTCAGATGCCAGACATGAACAATACCTGGCTAAGATTGCTTTCTTTTAAGAATGTTTGAGCTTTGGTGCTTATTAAAGAGGATCGTCATCAGGTGCCTTGCCGACAGGCGTGAGGGATCATGCCTCTCCAAAATCCGTGATCTCCTTCAGCATGTATTAGTTCATGTGTTGACGCAGTTAAAGAGGATACATTTGTTAAAGGTTAAAGAAACCAGACAGAGATGGATTGGGCACATCCTAACAGAAGAAAAAGTGAACACAGGTCATCAAAAACAAAAGCACTGAAACTGGAAACGAATGGATTGCAGAAAAAACAAAATCTAAGAGAAATCATGCAAATAATGTTGATGAGAGAGGCCAATGGCGCTGGAATGAATTTCCTCAAGGATATCAAAAAATACTGCTTAAGTTAGAATGGAATGGAGGAAAAGACTGTGAGCCATATGTGAAGCATCAATAGCACAATATGGTGATGATGGTATTGATAAAATAAAGTGACCTGTAGAATCTGTCAACCCTTTCACCCCACTGACCTAGAAAAAAAAAACTGCTGTAATTTCAATCTTTTTTTTAAATTCAAAGGTGGGGGGGGGGGGGGGGTAGAATCTGTCAGGAGGGGGGGGGGGAGGGGGGTGGGGGGTGGGGGTGGGATCTTAAAAAAATCACAAATATCACAAAATTAATTTATCATTAAAAAAGATGAACAAATACTGTACATGGTAAGGGAAGTAATCAATAAAAATTAATGCAGCATAGAATCAACCGGCTTACATTTCCTGGGGGCCTGTAAACTAATTTTAAAATACAGTGAGAGAAATGCCCACTATGCTTACAACCACGAAGAGAAAACTGGCCTCAAAAGCAGACTATGCACAGCAAGCTGTGGAGAACCATCAAAGACTTAAAACTAACATGAAGAATTCATTAAGGCAGCCCACCAAGTGAATGCTAATAAGAGCATGTTATATCAACCTGCATCCCAATGTCGGACCCAATTTTTTGTTTGTTTTAAAGTCCCAGCCTGGCTGTTGCCAGGGGCCCTAATATAACCCAGCCTATGGGTTGAATGCGGTGTCTGGGACCTGTCCCTGGTGATCCTCATCTGAATGGTGGTACTTTGTGTCACCAGGTGTTTATTGCTGGGTGTGATGTCCTGATGGGGTTGAATGTCATCATCATCAAGAAGAAGATGAAATGATGGCTGGAATGCTCAATGACATCATATTTCTACCAACAAATGGAGGCAGTAAACTCTCACCTCTAAATGATGAGTGACCAGAAACACTGTCTTTTCATGAAGGATAGTTTTGACACACTGGGCAAAAATATGGCGCCCCATGTTGACATCCACTGTGGATAGTGGATCATCCAATAGCAGGATGTCACAGTTACTATATATTGCCCGGGCCAAGCAGATCCTCTGTTTCTGACCACCAGACAGTGTCAATCCTCTGTCACCTATCTTAAATATAAGAAATCTACATCACTGTAAATTAAAGAGAATAACTAAAGCATCATTTCAAATGTTACCATGAATGAAATCATACCATTTGCCACTTCTGCATTCTATGGATTATAACCCCACCCAGTGTGGATTTTGGGGAAAAAGAATAGATCTCCTGCTCCCCAACAAGCATGTCATAATAGTCAACTAACTGTGGGCTTCCTTTGAAGTTAAACTGCATTTGCCTGAGAGGCAAGGAACTAACAGTCTGCATAAAATGAGCCATTAAATAGATGAGTAGGCAACACTGAAGTTCTGGAACAAGACTCAAGTCAAGAATTGGGTCAACAATTAGAACCTTAACTGGAGTTACAGCCGGTGAACGCGAAAAAGAAGAAGGGTTTGCTACAATTGGATTTGTTGGGTTGAAAGGTGCAGATACTGCAGCCTAGGAAATATGTTTACCACCAACACAAGCAATATTCACAGACATCTGAGGTATTGTCTTGTCTATCAATACAGGTAATCTCAAGCTCCTCTTCGGACTCCAGCCTGCCCTAGTCAGTCACCTTCATTACACCCTTTCATATGATTAAAGGGGTGGAGATATATTTGAGACCTTATTTGTAAATCCACTGATTTACTTCTTTGTTGCAGCATTGAGGAGAAACTGGTGTGAAGCTTCTTGGCTTAGGGAGCAGCACGGAAGCATGTGTTTCAGAATGCGGAGCGCATGTGGTGAGGGGTTACATATGTGCCTGCAGTTACATGTGTGCCTGCAATAAATTACAACGTGCCTAATACATCAAAAACTTGGGAAACAAATGTTTCAGCCTATGCAAACCCCATTAATTATATGTCTTTATAGGGGTTCTAGTGGTAAAGTGATCAAGCCATTTGCCTCATGCTATGAAAGTCATGGGTTTAATTCACAGACCTGTCATTCCATTCATGAGTACAGTTTTTGAGCAGATCCATGGGGACTGTCACTGGAGCTAGAGTTATGCAACACTTTTGGGTGGCAGCAAGCTGTTTTAAGGAGAGAAACCGAGCTGTTTGGGACATGCCTGGTGCAAGGAAGTTGAACTTTTAATTGAAAGTAAAATCTTTTAAGGATATCAACACACACACACACGTAAGTTAAAAAAAAATATTTGGAATTTCAAAACACAGATGGGTTACGCAAGAGCACTTTGTGACACAAATTCATATCTTCAGGAAAAGAAAAGAGAGGACAGAGCAGGACAACTCTGGATCCTTGTCCAGGTTGGTGGACACTGGGGTGGAACCCAAGGGCAGTCAATGCTGAAAATTTCACCAAAAGGCCCAAGGCATCTGAATATCAATACTGAATGGGAGTGATCAGTGTTTTTCTCTTGTGGAGCTACTGAGGAGAAGATCGGGGCACCTATGGACCTGTCCGGAGGGCTACAAAAGAAGTCCTCACTAATAACTGATAGACTTTTTACTATTAGATTAAAAACAAAGAAAAGAAGGTATTAAGCACAGTGCATGAACATGTCAGCTCCGGCATGTTGAACAAAAATTCCCACAAGAAATAAAAGGAGAATGATTAATCCATTTTGCATAAAGAAGTTCCTATTTTTATTAGCATAGTATACACTGATGGAGTGGTATCAAATAATTTATTTACTGTCTAATACTGAAATACACAAACACAAAAGCAATCAGATAAACTAAATGAAATGTGAACCTCACTTTTCCTTCCTGAGAAGAGTCGAGAAGGGGGGAGGAGATAAAGAAATTATCCTGAAGGAGAGTCCACTTTCAATAAAAATAACGGAGAAGGGAGGGGAGGGGGTTGGGAAAACAGAGGCAGACTTTTAATCAGGTTGCAACTGGTACTATTAGCATGTCAACTCTTCGTTGGCTACTGAACAAGGGAACGGAGCACATGTGGGAATGCACAAAGTGCAGTGATGATAATTCCTGATTCATTCATTCATCCAAACTAACAAAAGATCAGGGACATCTTGAGGATGAAAGTTCATGAGGCAGAACTATTGGCAGGTGACAGAAGGGTTCTTTCCGACGCCATGGTGACAGCACCATTCGGTAAGTGACCTGCTGCATGACAGTTGTGATGATTTTCAAGGCAGTGGCTAAAAACTACGATGTCTGCAATCAATGAAACATATTTTTTAGTTTGACCCCTCCAGATTTGCATTCTGTAGGGTAACAAAAGGATGTGAATCGTGAACTATCTTCCAGTCCTTGAGAAAGAGAATAGGGGACTTTGATCAGAAATGCTATAGAAAGATTCTCAGGATATCACTGACAAAAAAGAGGAGAAATACATAAATTTTAAAAGATCTGAACATCAAGGAACATTGGCTAATAATCAGCAGCTTGTCTTGAAAGCCGAAATATTTTGATCACATAAGGTACCCTGGCGGTCTGGGAAAAGTAATAGCAGAAGGCATGGTACCAGAAAGGAGGGGCAGGGGATGACCAACACAAAGATGGGCACAGGATATAAGTAATTCCTTGAGATGGGAGAGCTGGCGAGAGACCAAATTTCTTTCAGGCAGACCGTGATGAGAGCAATGTTCTGCAAAGGACTTGCTATATGATGACGATGAGGATTAACATATCCAGGATGAGAATGAAACAACTAAAAATCTGGGAAATCTTGTTCAACTGTATAGCCATATATCCAAGATATATTGGGGCATCACAAAATGGTTATGAACTAATCTGTAGTCAAGTATGGGTGGGGTCTGTGTGTGTCCATTTTTTTAAAAATCTTCAGCAATTGTGTCTGTGTGGAAAATGTATAGTTCTGCATCATGCTTCAGTTTTTTCAACCACAAATTCTGTATCTGCCTCTTCAGGCACCATTATTATCCTCTTCTTTTGCTGCTTGAAATAGATTATCTGTATCTGCAGTATTGTCTCTAGTATGAACTTTCATGTCTGTTGTAATTCACTCATGAACCCATAAAGTTCGATTTGCACCGGTGTTTCTCTTGGCCAATAGCTTTGCCTTGAAATGTTGAATTCGGTCTTGGATCTGTTGTCTCAGGTGGCAATCATTATATAGCAGGTTCTTTGTAGAATGCAGATATTATCACAACATGCTTGAAGCCACTCAGACCTTTACCAACTTTCCTGCCTTGTTAACTTTCATTTCCAGAGTGTTCTTGATACCCACTGGCATTCATCATCTTCACATCTCAAGCTGCAGTCTTACAGACTTAAAGCAACAGCCTTACCCCTCTCTACGACTGAGACTCTCTGACCAGATTCTAAGAATGCCCAAACTGATTACAAAAGAAATCTTACCTCTACTTCATCCTGAGCACTGAAAGTATCAAAATCTTTGTCCAGCTTTGTAGCTTTAATGACTCTGTCATATCTATGGAAAAATTTAACAAGAATTTATAATGATTCTATCAAATTTTTAAAAATAACAGATATATAACTCAGTAACTGTCACATCTATCACAAGAGTCCTTTACTACTTCCTCTTCTGCCCTTCTAACCCCCAGTGGAGCATAAGCCCTCGTCCTTTACCTCTTCTTCTTTTGCCTTTCTAATCCCCAATGTAACATAGGCCCGCAACCAACTCACATCACTTCGTTAAATCCTTCACTATCACATGCAGCTCTTCCTATGTCCTCCCCATCATTTTTAACTTCGCTCTCCAGCTCCATTCTATTGTTCTTCCTACAGTGTACAAAGTTCTAACATTCCAAGTATTAATCATGGAGGTTTTCCTAGGTGAGGAGAGGAGTTACGTCAACGATCTGGACTCTTTTCTCCACACCATGTACATCTACTAGAACAGCCTCCCCTCATTTTGGTTGGTGGGTTTTTTCTTGTTTTTCTTGTTTTTTTTTTTACTTCTCTATGGTTGGTTGGTTTTTGTGTTTATTGTTTTTGCAGGATGAGGTAACTAACCTCAAACCCAACCCTACCCCTGGTCATCTCTTACAACATGCCTGGTAGGGTGCAGTTTTACTACTCTTTGCTTCCCGTGAGGGCCCCGGTGACATACCTTGTCAAAAACAGTCAATATATCTGAAAGTCTACAAATAAAATTTGATTTTTTTGCATTTGTTCAATACAGACTTTATAAAATGGTTTCTCAATATCCTTATGTAATCTGTTCCGGATTCTTGGACATATGCCAAACAGTACTAACATGAAATGAATTTTCCCCACAAGAAATAAAGGGAGAATAATTAATCCATCCCAAGATAAAAATTCCTATTGTTTGCATAGTAAACACTGATGGGGCTGTATCAAATAATTTGAATACTGCCTGATACTAAAATACATAAATGCAAAAGCAAAAAGATAATGTTAAATGTTGAATTAGGAATCGACATCACAGACTCAGAACACCCCCATAAGCGCTCCGTCCTATCTTCAGCAGAAAGCGAAGAGTTCCAATTCCGATGGTACCAGTAACTGTCTGATTGTATATCTTCTCGCCTTCTTCCTGAGTGTCGAGCGTCGGCCAGATTCTCTTGTAAATGCCTCCTCTCAGTGCCATTCTCCTCAGACCGTAATGATCTATCTGTTCCTCAGAACTGATCACTCGCTCCCAAAGGGCCCGTAGAACAGTTCTTTGCCTTGGTTTCTTTCCAGAAAAATCAGTGGGACCTATTTATGTGGCTGTGTGCAGCTCAGTAGAAATAGTTTCATTGGAACCCAGACCATTATAGTGGCCCGGCATTACCCTGTGTCTTCTGGATATATAATAGAAACTTACAGACCACAGGACATTTCTGACATAGCAACTTCACAAACACATGGTAAATATACAGTCAAGTTACATATAACCAGAGAAAATCTATACCTTTCTTTTTCAAATGGTTTCCCAAAAAGAATATTCTCTCTAGCAGTTCCATTCATGATCCAGGGATCTTGACTAGAAAAGGCAACTGTCCCAGTTACTTTAATATCTCCCTCTAAGATCTGCATCTGTAAGCCAAATGTGACATTATTACACAACATGTAAATAAAGAAGCAAAGCTTCAGATTTTTCACTGTAACTAAAAAGGTTTAATGTGTACAACTCAAGATGAACACGCTAGCCATGCAATTCTAAATCCTCAAGTTCAAGACCCTTTGTTTAACATCACCCTAACCAGTGGTTTTCAACCTCGTGGGGAAGGAGGGGGGGGGGGGGGACACACAGCCCCTCAAGGGGGGGGGGGGGGGAGAGGATGTAAGGAAGTTTCAGGGGGACAGGAAGGCGAGAGGAACGACAAGCAATTTTTTTTCCAGTTTAACTACAAATAGAGTATTAACAGGCATAAATAGCGCGCGCGCGCGCGCGCGCGCGCGCGCACGCGCACGCACGCACGCACGCACGCACGCACGCACGCACGCACGCACGCACGCACGCACGCACGCACGCACGCACGCACGCACGCACGCACGCACGCACGCACGCACGCACGCACGCACGCACGCACGCACGCACGCACGCACGCACGCACGCACGCACGCACGCACGCACGCACGCACGCACGCACGCACGCACGCACGCACGCACGCACGCACGCACGCACGCACGCACGCACGCACGCACGCACGCACGCACGCACGCACGCACGCACGCACGCACGCACGCACGCACGCACGCACGCACGCACGCACGCACGCACGCACGCACGCACGCACGCACGCACGCACGCACGCACGCACGCACGCACGCACGCACGCACGCACGCACGCACGCACGCACGCACGCACGCACGCACGCACGCACGCACGCACAACACACACACACACACACACACACCACACACACACACACACACACACACACACACACACACACACACACACACACACACACACACACACACACACACACACACACACACACACACACACACACACACACACACACACACACACACACACACACACACCACACACACACACACACACACACACACACACACACACACACACACACACACACACACACACACACACACACACACACACACACACACACACACACACACACACACACACACCACACACACACACACACACACACACACACACACACACACACACACACACACACACACACACACACACACACACACACACACACACACACACACACACACACACACACACACACACACACACACACACACACACACACACACACACACACACACACACACACACACACACACACACACACACACACACACACACACACACACACACACACACACACACACACACACAAATGCTGCCAGCTTGTTTCTTCTATGTTATTTAACACTTTGATTTATATGGATATTTTCCCTCCAAATTCTTGTTAATAGTGCTTGGGGTTTTTCTTTTTGCTCTCCTTTTTTAATAAAAAAAATTTTTTTAGGGACATGGGTTGGGGGGGGGGGGGGGGGGTTATATTCACCAGGGTGCCCTATGTAAAAGGTTGAACACTACTGCCTTAAAAATGTGATAATACATTGACATTGTGACTCTGATTATTTACATAAGAGAATCACATTTGATTTATGTTCATTCTAGAAAGTTGTTTTTTCGAGTTGAATGTTTACTACGGGCAAAAACATTTCAGGGACGAAATGTTTATTCTGGGTCAGGATAAAGGAACCAACAAAGACACTACTGCATCTCACTTGCAGTCAGGCAGAGGCAACTGATAGCTGTATGTCTAATTACTTCCTTTTTTTAGTGTATATTTAATAATATCAGCAATTGACTGCTCGATAAATTATTTACTTAAATCACCTTTAATAATATAGATTAAGTTGATCTTTCCTCGTTACATCTAACATAGTATGTAAACATTTTCATTTCTGTCGTGACTATTTTTCTTCTGTCTTGCAATGTGTCTAGTTAAAATAGCTGTCAAAATTTCAATAACCGAGATTTGTCTATACAACTGTTCTATTTAAAATATAATTCATAATATCAGCTACTGACAGAAGACTGTGCAGTTTATCTACTGGAAAAATATATTTCTTGGTTTCAATAACTGTTATGCACCTGTGTAATTTATCAACTTGAAAACTATTTCATGATATCATAACCAAGAGTTGTCTGTTGCAGTTTATGTTACTAAAATATATTTCATGTTATTAGTAGCAGAGTTAACTAAATTTTCTAATGTGAACATAATAGAATACACTAGTGCATTTGTAGGTTCATTAGTTTCACTTACCCTCCCCAGTATGGCTGCTAACAGAGAGCTTTTACCACTGCCTTTCATGCCACACACACCAATCAGCTCTCCCTGGAGTTAAACAGGGAATACTACAAATGAAAAACAAACCCGACTCATCATATTACATGAAGTTCATATCTCCAATATTTAACAATGGACTGTTGGCAAGAACAACAAAGTGAGTGAAAGAAATGAACTGCTAAAATGGATTTATAACATCTTAATTACTGAACAAATGATTTATAGAAAGGGTCAGCAGTTAAATAGTAAGTATCCCCTTTATTATTTTAAAGTGCATAAACAGACTAGCTTTTACAGTACAGAAAAAGATTATATTTTATAGTGCATAAACAGACTAGCTTTGACAGTACATAAACAGACTAGATTTTACAGTACATAAACAGACTAGATTTTACACTGCATGAACAGACTAGATTTTGCAGTACACAGACAGACTATAAGCAAGTACTAAATGTGAAATAACTGATTCACAGCTTCACTTAAAAACAGTTGAAAGGACTGTATCTCATGCTTAGAAAAGGTCAAATCTAGAAAAATAGTGAATTAAATAATACAGAAAATCAAAATTACACAAAAGATAAATTGTGTAAATAAACTGCATAAATAAAGCTTCGTCCACACAAAATTTTTTTTAGAGAGAGAAAGATAAAAACAGGCAAATGATTCAAACAGTAGCTCAAGGCATTCCTAGATGAGGTAGCCAGCTCCCAACCTAGTGGTTTTCTGTATCATAAAATATCAGATACCAGTTTAAAATTATTGGATAGAGCCCAAAATTGTTTACATTAGTACTTGAAAGTAAATGTAACAAGCCCAGTATGATTTGTACAGTACTTAAAGTGAATGTAAGAAGCCTAGAATTATTTGTACAGTGTTTACAGTGAATGTAATTAAAAGCAATGTTTCCCCGATGTGAATTTGAACAAAGAAGACACAAACAATAGACTGCACAATTTATTGCCTGGCATATTTCGTTGTATCTCGTCAGGTGCATACTACAGTAACAAGTGAATAAATGAAGCAAATAGCTGAATCCTAAAAACTGAAACACAAATTCGAGTACATTCTACACTGTCTGTTTCACCAAGGTAACCTTAAGGAAACTACCATTTCTTTCTGCCTACAGAGATCCGGTTTTAACCGGTGGATCGCGGAAGCTTCTGCGTATCTGAGTAATCTACGATTGGCCGATTTGTAAATAATTCAAAATGCATCATCCCTGTTAATGATGTGCCCGGAATTTAGAATGTGTCACGCAATTGCTGATGATGGATTTTGTCGACCAGTCACCTGGTTCGTTGTTGTTGAGGTGTTAGTGTTTTGCATTGCTTTTACCAACCATAGTGGAATATGTTCAGCAACCCGTTTCTCCAGTCGTCGATCGGTTCTGCCCACATATGCAGCGTTACAGGTGCATTTAAATTGGTATAAACAGTTAGATCTGGCGTACGTCGAGACTGGTTCTTTTACAGGTGGCGTAGGAATCGTGGTGGTTTTGAATCTCATAACGGGCATGGCTGCGTAAAAGGTTTGACCGACTGCTGTTTTGAGTCGGTCATATACACGTTGCATGACGTCATCTCCCCGAAACGTTAGATGTATATAAACTTGTTTTTTTGGGGCCGACATTTCTAAGGTAACTGGTTTAGGTGGCTGGCAATGGCACTTAATAAAACCAATTGGATATCCATTAGAAAGCAGTGTTTGTTTAATCGTTTCGAATTCAGCTTGTAGAGTTTCGCTGGAACAAATCTTTCTAGCACGGTGGAATAATGTCCTCACAAGACCACGTTTGTACTGCAAAGGTGCAAAACTATTGAAATGGATGTACTGGCCTGTCCAAGTGTCTTTACGATAAACTGACCTTTCAATAGTGCCATTATCTCTACGTCTCATTAAAATGTCTAAAAAGGCCAAGGTGTTGCTACTTTCATGTTGTAAGGACACTGTGATCTATAATTATTTGTACTGTGTTTAAAGTGAATGTAATATACCTATAATGATCCAATCTGTACCATGTTTTAAATGAATGAATGAACCAAGAAATAATTTGTACAATTCCTAAAGTTAATGTAACAAGCCTAGAATTATTTGTACAGTACTTAAAATAAATGTAACAAGCCTAGAATTATTTGTACAGTACTTAAAATAAATGTAACAAGCCTAGAATTATTTGTACAGTACTTAAAATGAATATAACAAGACTTGTATTATCTGTTTAGTACTTAAAATGAATTTAACAAGCCTGGAATTATTTATACAGTACTTGAAGTGAATGTAACAAGCCTATAGTTATTTGCAAAGTACTTAAAGTGAATGTTACAAACCTTGAATTATTTGTAGAGTGTAAATTGAATGTTACAAGCATAGAAATATTTGTACAGTGTTTAATGTGAATGTAACAAGCCTAGAATTATTTGCATCATAATGCAGGAAAGATATTTGAGGAAACATCATCAAAAGTAAGACAAAAATGGAATGTTACATGAGACCTGCTTTGCTATATGAGGAAATCCTTAAATCTTAAATAAGTTATTAAAAGCTCGAATGCATTGAAGATGTAGTTTCAGAGACTAACATTGCAATTACCTTGATCAGTCAGTATCAGCAATAAAGGCTAACCATAGCTGAACCTTTACCACAAATATAAGAAATTGTTTTTGGGTCATGTGATAAAAAGAGAAGCATTAAACAAATACTGTACTGTCCTTTCCTGGAGGAGTTGTAAAGCAACACATGTCATGGTCACATCAAGTAGAGCTTGGGAAACCTAACAGACCTTGAGATGAAATTTCAGTTTATGACCCATAATACCAATTACCTAATTAAAATTACAAGTTATGTGCATGACCAGAGATCACTGAGGAAGAACAAACCCTTTGATAAATAGAAAGACCAGCAGTAGAAAGCATGAGGCAGACATGGAGATGTAAAGCCAGCTGGTCCAGGATGGTGGCAGGGCAAAACTGATTTAAAAAGAGAGGTGTGAATGGCTGGGCCATCTGGCAACACAGATGATAAACATCACCTTCTTCACTTTAATGTCAATCTCATGCAGAACAGGCACAAATGCTCCTTCAGAGTCTTTCCGGTACACAACATGGCCATTTTTTTCCTTCAGCAGCAGTGCTAAAGAGTTGTCAGTCACATCCGGTTGGACAGGGTATTCTACACGGTAAGCATGTGAACTAAGGGTAGGGTTCGATTTTGACAGAGCCTTGACTTCATCCGCTTTCAGACCAGCAATGATGCTGTCCCTCTGTCTGTGGTCTCTGTGGAATAAATGTGTGATGTGTTGTCATCTGTTTGTGCTGATGTCTGAGGATTTGTATCCTCATTGTTGTGCAATCGAAGATGATGATGACAATGGGGAGGATGGTATGAGAGGGCTGATTTGGGAAAAGGAGAGAAGAAATAAGATAAGGAAAATAAAGAATTACTTGAGTAGAAGATTTGGAAGATGACTGGAAAGAGAGAAAAAAAGGAAGAGATTTTAAAAAAATATTTAAAAAAGCCAGAGAAATGAAGAGAACTGAAGTATTATGAGGAACAGTAAACTGGATTTGGAGAAAGAAAAAGAGAATCAGAACAGTGCAATGACACGAAAACAAGATGAAGAGAAAAAGAAACAGAAAAAGTGATAATAACAGAAGTTTAGGTGGAAGTTTAAGAAAAAGATGAAAAAATTGAACAACTAGCAGAAAACTACAAATTTGTGGTAAATTTTTGGAACGCACTGCCATCTAAATAATTCATGAAATAATTCTATACATTGTGTTCCTTATACACTGCTTTCTAAATATTAAGATATATATTAAGATTATTTTAAGACACAAAATCCTATATTTGTCAAACAAATTTGTTAACGGGCTAGACCAGCGGTTCTCAACCAGTGGGTCATGATCCCTTGGAGTTGGAACAACCCATTCACAGGGGACGCCTAAGACCATTGGAAAACATATTCACTGAAGTTATAAAGTAGCAACGAAAACAATTTTATGACTGAGTGTCACCACAACATGAAGAACCGCATTAAAGGGTTGCGGCATTATGAAGGTTGAGAACCACTGTTTTGGACTATGGTAATTTTTATACTAAAACAGGAAACTCAAGTTTACCGCAGTCTTCTTCTTCATCTGGTGACTCCCAAGTCAGAGTTGCCATGCTGACTTCAACGGCCAAACTATCATCACTACATTTTTCATAGCAAGTTTTCTCTGGCATCAAGAGAATTTCCTGCAACAAAGAGGCAATTGTAGGTGTGTCTGATTAAGGAACAGCAAAAAAAAATTAAAGATTTTACATGGGGGGGGGGGGGGGGGGGGGGGGGGGGGGGGGGGGGGGACACGTCCAATTTGCTGGGTTAGTAAACTTGCTTTCTAGTTGCATTTCAGGTGTTTAAATTCACACTTAGGTCAGAATTCTGGGCTTCCCGTCAACTCAGCCTAAAGTGGAAACCAGGAAATTCTCAGGTAAGTTAAGTTCTTGGCATGATGTTGACCTGATCAACCACAAAGCACCACTTAACCTGACTCACTGAAATCACTGAAAACATCAGCCTGATCCATGGCCCTGCCAGTAAGCCAGTCTGCTCCTTCATGTCCTATTATCCTGTTGTGTCCTAGCACAAAACTTAAACTGAATCCTGTCAGACAAGATTTTCTCAGAATATTCAACAATGTCATCAAACCCATCCTGTCTCGATATTCTCAAGTTATGTTCATGGAATCAGAAAGCATGCGTGGGGAAAAAATATGTCTTTAGCCAGGTCATCGCTACCTCCATATTGAGACTACTTGTAGTTAAGGCTAAAGCACTGCTATCCTCTTTTACAGTTCTTCAGAACAGTGAAGCCAATGAGCTTTAAACGTTTTGAATGATAGACCCATCAGTGTAAATAACTGCACCTCCATCAGCAGAATTCTCAAGAATTAAGGCCTCACCTTCCACCTTGACCACCAAGAAGATTTGTTGTGTGCAGACTCTTTACAGTTGTATGTAGTTTGTAAAGAATATACAACACTGTGCTGGCACTCCTACTCTTTCCTCATTAGGTCCTATGTCTTCAAGTGAACCAACCTGTTGAATAATGTCCTCGGCCTGCATTACAACACCTGGGTAAGCCGTAATGTGTGGTCAAGGGTGTCATGCAGGACTTTGGATGTATTTTTCTACTTTTTCTGTATACCAAAACTATCTGTGCTGTTGTCATTTTTTGTTTCTTTTGTTCTTAAAGTATGGGTTTTTAAACCTTACAATATTTGCTAAAATCAAATGTCATAACACCAAAATCACAAGTTAAAAAACTGATAAGACTGACTGTCATGCATGGTTATGAAACCTGGGGTATATCTAAAAGATATGAATTCTTAATTAAGGACTTTGGAGAACAAACCTTATGAGGAATCTGTGGATCCATCTAAGATTAAAATAGCTAGGAATCGAGATTGAGAAGCAACGCAGAAATTCATAATCTATTTAAATCACCGCAAATTTTACTGGCATCGTGAGAGATGATAGACTACAATGACTGGAGCACTTACAGAGTGTGGCAGATCACAGAGAGAGAGAAACCACACGCATAAAAGAGTTGAATGTGAGTATACCATAAGGCAGACTAAGAAGACAATGGAGAGATAAAAGGCCTTAAAATCTTTGGCTCCAAATTCTTGGACTATAAGTCATAATACCCCCCCCCCCCATACCCACCCTTTTTTTGCATTTTAACAGCACTCTAAAAGTAGTAAAAGCAGGCAGTAAAGATGCATATCTATATTTGAAAGTCACGTTTTTTATACATGTTTATTATGGAGTGTTTCAATCCCTCTGATTTAGAGGCTTATCTACCTGTTTTATAACATAGTATAGTTTTTATAAAACTGGGAATAACAGAGAGACAAAAACGTGTACACAAATGAGCTGACTTGGAGTAGGCTACAATCATCATTAACATCATGATGATGATTGTAGTCTACTCCAAGTCAGCTCATTTGTGTAGACGCTTTTGTCTCTCTGTTATTCTCAGTTTTACTACAATACAGACTACGAAGACTGTAACAAGAATATTAGGTCAGATATTAGGTCAGACCTACAAACATTTGGTGTCATCAAACCCGAGACAAAAGACTAATCATAGAGAAAAACGAAGTGGGTTATGTATGCAGTAATCACCCCTAAGTGATAAGAATACTGGAGAAGAAAATGAAGGGTTTTCAAAAAGACAGTTGTCATGTTTTCTTTGCATGTGAAATGTTTTCAACTGCATTGTTAAAAATTAGCTTTAAAATATTTTCAAAAAAGCCTTTTAAAATCTTGCATGCTCAGAAAACCAAGTAGGTTAAATACCAAACCTCTCAGGGTAGTTTATCAGTTATCTTATGGAGCAGCCACAGAAAGAATGTAGTTGGTCAGAAGAGCCATGGATTTGAAAAGGGTGATAACCACTTATGTTATTATTTACACTCCCTGTGTGGCATCAGGGACCCCATTATGGGAAAAACAAGAACAGACCTGCTGCCTCATGTCTTAGGATGTCCTCATTCTGATAAGACAGTTATGCATTCTAATCAGACAGTGAGGAGTATTGTCTGGATTTTTTCAGCGGGGTATGCCGGTGTGTTGGGAAATGAACAGGCGGACAGACTGGCTGGCTCTGCACAACTTGGTGGAATACTGATACATGATAAGGCAGATGTGGTTAGTGCCTTGTGGGGAGCGTGTACAGTTCGGAGGAGCAGATGGATCACCACAGTCTGGTGAGATTGATGCAGCAGGGAGTGGCGAGAGGTACTGGCAGATGCTCGAGGCTCAGAGGAAAGGCGAGACAGACGTTTAATCAGAATGCTACTAGCACCATTAGTGTCAGAACTCTTCGCTGGCTGCTGAAGATGGAGACGGAGCGCTTATGGAAATGCCCTGCGTGCTGTGATGTCGGTTCTTGAATTAAATCAAATCAAATCACAGCCATTACCTTTACTCACCTGACAATACAGTTACTCATTCTAATCAGTCATTACCTTCCCTCAGCTGACAAGACAGTTTTACTCATTCTAATCAGTCATTACCTTCCCTCAGCTGACAAGACAGTTTTACTCATTCTAATCAGTCATTACCTTCCCACAGCTGACAAGGCAGTTTACTCATTCTAATCAGACAGTCATTACCTTCCCTCATTCTGACAAGGCAGTTACTCATTCTAATCAGATAGCCATTACTTTCTGTCATTCTGACAAGACAGTTACTCATTCTAATCAGACAGCCATTACCGTCCCTCAATTGACAAGACAGTTACTCATTCTAATCAGACAGTCATTACCTTCCCTCACCTGACAAGGCAGTTACTCATTCTAATCAGACAGCCATTACCTTGCCTCACCTGACAAGGCAGTTACTCATTCTAATCAGACAGCCATTACCTTCCCTCACCTGACAAGGCAGTTACTCATTCTAATAAGACAGCCATTACATTCCCTCATCCTGACAAGAGTTACTCATTCTAATCAGACAGTCACTACCTTGCCTCACCTGACAAGGCAGTTACTCATTCTAATCAGACAGCCATTACCTTCCCTCATGCTGACAAGACAGTTACTTATTCTAATCAGACAGTCATTACCTTCCCTTACCTGCCAAGACAGTTACTCATTCTAATCAGACAGCCATTACCTTCCCTCATCCTAACAAGACAGTTACTCATTCTAATCAGACAGCCATTAACTTCCCTCATCCTGACAAGACAGTTACTCATTCTAATCAGACAGTCATTACCTTCCCTTATGCTGACAAGACAGTTACTCATTCTAATCAGACAGTCATTACCTTCCCTCACCTGCCAGGACAGTTACTCGTTCTAATCAGACAGCCATTACCTTCCCTCATCCTGACAAGACAAACATTCTAACCAAACAGATATTACTGCTTCTCATCCTGACCAGACAGTTTTTAACCCTTTTATTACCTGGCCATGTAAATACTCATATTGTTTCTTTAAATGTCACGTACCCTCCTTTTTTTCTCCAGCCCATTCTTGTGTTTAATAATCCACTGGATTAAAAACTCCTTCTATGTAACATCCTTATTATTTTAACTAGCCACACACAAAGGTTGCAGCTCTAAGTTATACACATTTTGAGATGATGAAATGTTTAAGCAACAAGTGTCTGGGATAGAAATAATTAATATCATCCACCCCAGCCTGCTCTCACAGTTTGATCTTTATTCTTGTTTATGTACAACTATGCTAGCATCTTTGGCTTAGGTATTGCGAGTACAGTTTGTATTGTTGAAATACCCGGTTCAATTCCAACCACGGACCAGACTAAACTTATACTAACAATTTTAATTTATAAAATTAAACACCCTATTTAATGTCACTGTTATAACTGACAAGTAATCAGTTGAACAATGTAGAAATTAAAATTAAAGTTAATTAAAAAAAACAAAAAACACAGAGCAATAAGAAAAGAAATAGCCTGTATATGAAGCATTGCAATGTACCTTATACCTGGTCATAGCAACAGAGACATCTATCATGCTTTGTACTCCATACAGGGAAGATGCCAAGGAGAACGTCATGGCATAGAACACAGATATTACTGTGAATGCCTGCAGAAAATACAACAAATATTGTCAATGGATCTTCAAAAGTTCTATACTTAACCCTCTCACCTTAAGAAAACCGTTTTTCTGACTTTTATGGGTTTTGGTGGATATGATGTTTTTGACGCTAACTCGTACGCCTGCATGACAGCTTTGGTACTGGCTGCAACTGCTTAGTGTATAGACATAGTGGGTATGATTGAATTTACTCCCAAAAAATACTTTAAGATATTTTTATGGGGTTAAAAAATTGATGTTCAAAAATGATGTTTGAAAAAAAGAAAAATAAAGACACCAGTTTCCCTCGATAATTAGATCATTTAGAATGTGACAAGTTTGATATATGCTATAATTTGCCGGCTAACTAGATGAGAAACAAAACACATGCTTCAATTTACTTCCTAACTTGACTTTAAAAACAAAAACAAAACTTATGCTATAAATTGTTTCCTAACTAGGTAAAAATCATAATCTATGATATAAGCTGCTAGTTAGTTAAATGAGCAACACATAATATGCTATGGTTGACTTTCCAGCTTTATAAGAATCATTTCACATGCTGCAGTTTGCTTGTCAATTAAATAAAAATCATATCATTTGCTGTAATTTACTTGCAAACTAGATAAGAAAATATTACATGCCATATACTGCTTGCCAGCTTGATCAAAAAACTGATCATCGTCATCATCACCTGTCAGGTCCTTTACAGTAGGTCACCCCTTATAATAATATTGGTCACCCCTTATAACAACCTGCATGAAACAAACTCTCTTTCGCTCTCTTTCGTGATCTCCTGCCTGGTTCACTTTCCTATCCAATAAATTTTTATATCAGTCATGGTGTTTGATACAGCCAAAATACTTCAGTTTCCAAGACAAGATGCTGTTTACTAGGCAATCTTCATTGATGTTCAGATCTTTTAGGATGCCAGTATTTCTTGTATTCTTGATTCATGGTATTCAGATAATCTTTCTATAGCATTTCAGCTGAGAAAAACTTATTTTTGTCCTTATTTACTGCAAAACAGTCTATGATGAACATCAGTATGTTGCTACAGGGAAGATGCATACACCCCAAAATTATGGCTTTAATTTCCTTGCTGGTGCATAATTACAGACCTTTAATGCTGTTTAATCTCTGTATTGCTAGAGCCAGCCTCCCTTTAGCTTCTGACAAATATTCCATTGCCATTTGTTATGGAGCCTAGATATTCACAATTTGTGACATTTACAGTTTCCTTATTATTTGTTATTTTTGGGTGACAGGCACTTTCATAAGTGAACATTATTATTGTTATTTTTTAAATTTAGAAATATGTTTTGATCTTTACTGTGTTTTTGGACAGATGTGATTCAATGCTCTATACCCTTTATACTGTCTGAAAGGACTGTTTCATGTGCTATATTTTGCTTGCTAACTGGATAAGAAACATATCACATGCTATTATTTTGTTAGCAAACTAGATAAGAAACATATCACTTGCTATAATCTGCTAGCAAACTACATAAGAAACATAACACTTGCTATAATCTGCCAGCAAACTACATAAGAAACATATCACTTGCTATAATCTTCCAGTGAACTACATAAGAAACACATCACTTGCTATAATCTGCCAGCAAACTACATAAGAAACATATCACTTGCTATAATCTGCCAGCAAACTAGATAAGAAACATAATACTTGCTATAATCTGCCAGCAAACTACATAAGAAACACATCACTTGCTATAATCTGCCAGCAAACTAGATAAGAAACATAACACTTGCTATAATCTGCCAGCAAACTACATAAGAAACATAACACTTGCTATAATCTGCCAGCAAACTAGATAAGAAACACATCACTTGCTATAATCTGCCAGCAAACTAGATAAGAAACATAATACTTGCTATAATCTGCCAGCAAACTACATAAGAAACACATCACTTGCTATAATCTGCCAGCAAACTAGATAAGAAACATAACACTTGCTATAATCTGCCAGCAAACTAGATAAGAAACATAATACTTGCAATAATCTGCCAGCAAACTATATAAGAAACACAACACTTGCTATAATGTGCCAGCAAACTAGATAAGAAACATATCACTTGCTATAATGTGCCAGCAAACTAGATAAGAAACATATCACTTGCTATAATGTGCCAGCAAACTAGATAAGAAACATATCACTTGCTATAATGTGCCAGCAAACTAGATAAGAAACATAATACTTGCAATAATCTGCCAGCAAACTACATAAGAAACACATCACTTGCTATAATCTGCCAGCAAACTAGATAAGAAACATATCACTTGCTATAATCTGCCAGCAAACTAGATAAGAAACATAATACTTGAATAATCTGCCAGCAAACTAGATAAGAAACATATCACTTGCTATAATCTGCTGGCAAACTACATAAGAAACATAACACTTGCTATAATGTGCCAGCAAACTACATAAAAAAGATATCACTTGATAGAAACTGTTTGCTAACTGGATGAATAAAAAAATTACCCTGGAAGCTGTCAGGTCATTCCCAGTCAGGATGTAACCCAGAAACATGAACACAGAGGCTATGACAGGTATCATGGGTACCAGCGATGCCACAACACTCTTCAGAAAGGAACCTCTTTCCAGGGCTATTTTCTCCCTGTGCCGACTTTCTGGAAATGAAAAATGTAAGAAGAGCATCTGTTAGTATACATGCATATCATATCTTCTTTTTCTTCATGTGGGTACCGGGGCCCTGTTATAGGAAAAACAAGAATAGACCCACTGCCTACCCCAAAGCATATCGTAAGAGTCGACTAATTGGGAACTTCCTTCAAAGTTGGAGTGCATCTGCCAGAGAGGCAAGAAACCAACAGTCTGCATACAAATTAGTCAGATCTGTCAAACGGATGCACACAAAACACTCAAGTTGTGGAACAGGACTGCAGTCCAGAAGTGGACAAACAACCAGAACTTTCCGATGGAGTTTACAGCTATGAAAGCGAAGAAGAAGATATCTTCTTTCCTTTTAATTTCCCCCTACTTTCTTTTTCTTCGTTCATCATAGAATGTAATTGCACTATGTCCATTTACAGCATGGCAATGTTATTTGCACCTTTCCGGCAACATACTCGATATGTAACACTTCTTCAGGCATCTGCTGCTCGGCTTAGCCTTTCCAGTTTTCGCCTGTCTAAAGTAATCCAACAGCAGATACTCTCATTGAATTATGAAGTTTTAAGTGTTCACATATTGTAGGTCACAACATATGTGATGGGGTGGTCAGTTCCCTTCCTTGTTGCCTTTCTGTGCAGACAAAGCATAGAAATAATCATCATCAGATGTGGATATGTCAGAGAATGAAGTCAAACAGCCACTGATGCTGAAATAAGGACTCTCATTCATGAGACAGGTGACATCGTCATATATACAAATGGCTCAGTGATTCGTAGGGGAAGTCTGAGTTCCAGATTGTATTCTAGATTGTACTTCTTCTCTCAGCATGTTGGAACAATTGAAGTTGGCATCCAAGTACTTACATGTTTCTGTTCATTTGATTTTCATATTATCGACTTGTATGTGACCGGAGTTTATATTCTTTTCCTGTTTAGTTATTATCATGTATTCTGTCTTATCTTGATTGATAACTAGTCAAATTTTCTGAGCTGATTCTTTTAATAGTAAGTTTTTTTACAGTCTCTAGTTCTTTTTCTCCAACAATATGAATGTCATCTGCATAACCCAGTATTCTTGTAGATTCTCCTATAGTACACTTTTGTTTTAATTTCCTTATAATTTTCTCCAGGGCCAAGTTGAAAAAAAAAAAGTGGGGACAGAGCATCACCTTGCTTTAAACCAGATATTATTTTAAAAGGGTCTGACTTTCTGCCTTCATATATTAATATATTACAAATGTCTTCCATACATAGTTTGGTCATGTTAATTAACTTCTTTGGTATTCCAAAATCCTTCATAGCCTTCCATCGACTGTTTCTATGTACACTATCATAGTGGGGGTAATATGTAATTAAAATGTGTTTGCAATGACTTTCAAGATCGATTTCTTGTTACTTTGTTTTTCAAATTAAAGAACAGATAGGCAAATTTCTGGGCTAGAAATGGGTTAAATCATTTTAATTCATTCCTATTAGAAAAACGTTTGATATTCGTCCTCTTTAATATGTGTCTTCCCTTTAGGAATGGAGTAATGAATATTAAAGTTCCACTGTGAAAAAAAGGAAGTGAAGACATCCAAAGATGCTGGAGCTGAATTCCATCCATGACCTTGAAGTGACTGCACTGAATAGAATGGAATGGAGCATAGACTACGAGCCCTATGTGACATTAATGGCACAACAGGTCAATAAGATGATAATAAGTTGGGTTGGTTTTCCCTCACCTCATCACTTTTCCTGCCAGACAATTCTGGGCTCTCCTCCGAACTTCTACCCCCGCATTATGGCGGCCTGAAATATCCGTTCGGGGCTCAGTTCTATTAAAAATATGCCGGCTCTGTATAACGAAACAAATGCTCTAACAGGGTCTCAGCGATATGTTACTAGCGAACCTGTTTCTTATTGTTTCTGATTACCTGACAGTTCTAAGAGACGCAACACTGCAGACGATAATAGCGACCGTTGACACTTTCCATTGTCAGACTTTCTGCCGAGGAACAAATATGTAAAATGGGGACTTGTTGGACTTTCTGCCGACGAACAAATCGCGGCAAATCGAGGATCAGCTCGGAAAAACGAAACAAATGCTCTAACATGGTCTCAGCGATATGTTACTTGCTGACCTGTTTCTGTGACTATGTCTTACCACCGACTGTATCCCCGCGCCGCTACGTGCGACGCGGATAGGGACTAAACTAGATGGATGGGACTCACGAGCAGCAACTACCGCATCTCCTGCAACTTCCTCCAATTACTTTGCTCGTGAGTCCCAGGCACCTAGTTTAGCCCCCATCCGTGGCGTGCGTAGCGGCGCTGGGAATACGCTCAGCGGGGAGTTTAATCGCGTTTTGCGCATGCTGGCAAGTCTGACATCTACCGCTGCTAAATCCTCAATCGGAAGAATAGTATTGCTAATCTGTGTGGCAGCGCGTGGTCTACCCGCCATATCGCTTTCATCGTCTGTAATGTCTCGAAATTGTCAACGGTCGCTTTTATTGTCTGCTAGTATCATCTGCAGAAATGCTCGACATTGTCACCGGTCGCTTTTATCGTCTGCTACTATCGTCTGCAATATTGCGTCTCTTGAAATTGTCAAGTAATCCTAGTTTTGCCGCGATTTTTTCCTTGGCAGAAAGTCAGCATTTTTCATTGGACTGAGCCCCGAACGGATATTTCAGGCCGCCATAATGCGGGGGTAGAAGTTCGGAGGAGAGCCCAATTCTGAAATTATCTGGTTACCATTTTAACATTCAGAGTTTAGCTACAGCTGTACTGGTTTGAAAAAACCATCCCACCATTGGTAAGGATTGAACGGACCAATGTACTGGTAAGTAAGGAAACCTGCCATACCTCCCCTATGTTTTTCATATGTTGTCAACTTTGCCAGAATTGTGAAATAAACTTTAGTGTCATCAATATTTCCCCACAAACATTCTTATATTTCAGATCTGATATCAAAGTTTCCACAAGGTTATTGATTCATACTTGATGATTATATGTCCAGAAACATCACTAGACTTAAAAATTGCAATTCATATTATCTAAACAAAGACAATCAAACCTGTCAATCGATTAATAAATGCCGGTTCCCAGCCATTCATTTTGATCAATTTCATGCATGTTAACACTTCAGTCATCAGCCCAACCTGGGGGGAAAAACCAGACAAGCACAGTAAAGACAGAGATATAATTATCTTAATTGAAGCATTGTAGTTAGCTGGCATTTTATATACATGATGTTCGTAGTGCAACGTCTTGGTGCAGGGAATAGCAATAACAACAAAAGCAAAACTTGTCCTCTGGTATTTCAAATAGTGGGATTGGATTTGAGCAAGTTCTGGCTTTTTTTCCTCAATACTATTAGAACTACAAAAAGTCTGGAGAAGTTTTTACAATCTGTGTAGTCTGTGTTTGAATCCCCAGTAAGGGATTTGGGAATAGGGGCAAAGACATTTGTGTAATTCTAAACTGCACATTTTGTGGAAACTGCACAAGCATGGCAGACCTAAACCACTTGGCTCCGGACCATAAATATCATTGGAAAACTGAACTCAATCAATCAATCAATCAGTCAATCAATCAATCAGGAAATGACATCAGTGCACACACAGGATTGAGGTGAGAGAGAGAAGAGGGGGGGGGGGGGGTGTCTGAATTAAGTCTGGTAGAGAAAAACATGCAAGTGATCTAAAACATTTTTTGTTAAACATATTACTAGAACTATCAAAATATGTAGTGACATTAACTGACATGCTGATGGAGACGGAGCATATACGAGTATCCCAATGTAACGATGTTGACTCTATAGGAAAAAAAGAATTAAAAAAATTATGTTTCCAAACCTTGAGAAATACTGAGTATACAGCATATTCCACAGTTGCGGGTTCAAGCTGTATTAAAGACCAAGCTAATTTTGATACCAGGGGTTGGTCTGGCATTAAAGTGTACCTGCTCCTTCAACAAGGCGCTCTTAGTTGATTCCTAGTTTGGTAACTATAGCTTTTGAGTTTCACATATCTAGTGTGTGCTTCTTTCTCACTAGTTGTTTCTATGAGTGCCCTTCAATGCAAATCATTTTATTGATTATACTATTTATGTCTTTATGGGTTTCCTGATGATCTATATATATATGTGTGCGTGCGTGTGTGTGTGTGTGTGCATGTATGCCATACGTGTGTGCATGCACGTGAGCATGCTGTGCGTGTGTGCATGCATGTATGTAAATGCATGTGTGAATGTATGCAAGTGTGTGTGTGTATGTGGGTCTATGTGTGTATGTGGGTCTGTGTGTTTGCGTGAGTATGTGTGTATATGTGTGTCTATGAATGTATGTATGTATGTGCGTGTGTGGGTGCATGCATGTGCGCTTGCGTGCATGTATGTGTGCGTGCGTGCGTGTGTGTGTATGTATGGGTCTGAAGGTCGAGGAATAAAATTCACATCCAGTCAGATATTTTCTCCAAATTAATCTTAGTTCCCAGGTCGACCTAGCCTAAATAGGTGCAAGGTTATGTCCGGGAAAGTAAAGGGGTTGTCTTGACTGCATCATCTATGAGACCCGCTAACATTAAGAAGAGTCTCCCACAGTTAGCACACGGGATTTCAGGACTGCTGATGTTACCATGTTACCGTGTTTGACACTGATAACACAATGTTAGTAAAAAATACTAAACTGAATAGAGCTTTTTTGGTGTCCTTAACATCTTCAGTGTTTGTCATTCATAATAGAGCTGAAAACATGCTTCCAAATTTATAAAATGAATGTCTAACTTCAGTAAAGAAAAAATTATGGCTCATACTAGCAAGGCAAAAAATGTCTGTTAGGCGTTCAATAAAGAAAAAAAAAATTATGGTACACACTGGCAGGCAAATAATGTCTGTTATTAGTTCGGTAAAGAAAGAAATTATGGCACATAATGGCAAGGCAAATAATATATGATATAAATTCAGTAAAGAAAGAAATTATGAGGCACATTGGCAAAGGCAATACAAGGCACTAAGCAGAGAATCCCCAGATAAGCAGTGAAGTGGAAAGCAACTGGATTTAAGATGTGCAAGAGAAACTCTAAAATAAATGATGTGAGAGGCTGAATTCCATTCATGATATTGAAAGGATTCCACCGGACAGAATAGGATAGAGGAATAGACAGTGAGTTCTATGTGATATAGCCAATAATGGCATAACACGAAATAAAACAACAGGGAGATGATGATGATGATGATGATGATGATGATGATGATGATGATGATGATGATGATAAGGAGGACTTGCTGGAGAAACTCTAAAAAAAGTTACTAAGAAGTCAAAGAAAGATGCTAACTGGATTCTGTCCATGATATCGAATGGGTTGCACAGGATTAAACAGAAAGAAGGAATGGACTGCGAGTCCTATGTGATGATTACATGGCACAACATGATGATGATGATGATGTTAAGTAAAAAAAAAATGTGATTTTTCTAGCCCTGTTGTAAATATATCAAATATACAAATCTAAATGAATTATAGTTTCAAACTGAGCAGGGATTTATTGACACCCTGCATGTGGGAAAGTGTCTAATTATATGTTTTATGCTATCTCCACAGTAAGTTGTATTATGTGACATTACGAAACAAATCAATAACTCATAAAAACATTATTTTTAACTGAAAACGAATCAATGTCGTGATAAGCAGAAAAGTTATGATGACAAGGTGTAGCTGCAGCGGAATTATAGAATTCATTTTATGTACTTAGTGATGTTCTATGTTTGTGAAACATAGACTAAACATAGACGTCATCTAAACAAGCTTAGTCACTTCCATGGTCTGTCTGTCTGTCTGTCTGTCTGAAAAAGCTACTGAAAATTAAGTGGCAAGACAGAGTCCCAGATAATGTCATACTGGATATAGCTGGCATTCCCAGGATCAATACAATCTTGATGTAGTCACAGATTCGACGGGTTTGTCACCCCGTTGTTCAGACTATCGGCTCCCATAAATAATCTTTTACAGTGAGATACAAGAAAGCAGACACTCAAAGGGCAGCCAGAAAAATACGCTTCAATGACAAACTAAAGAGATTATAATAACAATTTGATTATTTATACAGATGGTTCAGGGTCAAGAGGCAAAAGAAAGGTTCTTAGCAAAAGTCAATGGTCGACATGTGGTGCAGGAGAGCCTAGTGTATGATACCACAACATCCAGCCTAAGAATGGAATCGGAGGCGGTCACTGCAGCTTTCCACTGGCTGGAGAACACGACACTTACACACGTCGTGATTGTAACTGACTCAGAAAGCATGTTGAGAAAGGTGAGGACAGGTATGCTTTGTGCTGAATGACCTGATTAGCTTTTGAGGTCACGGGTGGTATTGTCTGGATTTTTTCTCCGGGGAATGCCCGAGTGCCAGGAAACGAACAGGCAGACAGACTGGCTGGCTCTGCACAACTTGATGGAATGCTCATACATGGTAAGGCAGACGTGGTTAGGGCCTTGTGGGAGAACGTGTACAAGTCGAAGGAGCAAACAGATCACCACAGTCTGGTAAGAGTGATACAATGTGGTAGAATGTGCAATGATACAGATACTGACACAGATTAATGGAAATAAGCTACCATGGATACTGTTGCATGGAAGCGCATGGGAATCCGCTGAGTGTCGGACGTCAATTCTTGACTCAACTGTTGCATGGAAGAGGAAAATCAGGGGGAAAAATAGGGGCAAAGAAGAAAACAGTTACAGACAGGTTAGTACCTAAACGTTGGACAAGTAACACATCAAATAAATGTGATGGCAACAATAGTAGCAACATTTCATGCAGTTTTTTTTTTTTTTTTTGAATTATTATTCGCAGCCGCCATGGATGCGAATCCCATGCCTCCCTACAGCATAGATTCAACACTATCGTCTGGGGAAACAAATATTTGTCACCGTTAATGGAAACAAACATAATATATTTTGTCACAATTATTTAAAACACAAATGAATATTATTCTCCATGTGACACTCACCCTTTGACCTGTAAGACTCACAGCCCTCTTTCGGAAGTGCTCCATCCCGTCTCCTAAAAATTTCTGCATGAGAAAGTAATACAAGAGAAAATAGTTCACCTCATCATCATCTAGTGTATCTTTGTATTGTTAGTTGGTTTGTGTATCATTTACAACAGTGGTTCTCAAGCATCCCAATACCGTGACCCTTTAATAAAGTTTGTCATGTTGTGGCGACCCTTTAATTCAATTCCTCATGTTGTGGCGACCCTTAAATACAATTCCTTATGTTGTGGCGACCCTTTAATACAGTTCCTCATGTTGTGGCGACCCTTTAATTCAATTCCTCATGTTGTGGCGACCCTTTAATACAATTCCTTATGTTGTAGCAGCCCTTTAATACAGTTCCTCATGTTGTGGTGACCCTTTAATACAATTCCTCATGTTGTGGCGACCCTTTAATACAATTCCTCATGTTGTGGCGACCCTTTAATTCAATTCCTCATGTTGTGGCGACCCCAAGCTATACAATTATTTTCGTCGCTACTTCATAACTTAAATGTTTTGCGATGGTCTTTGGCGACCCCTACGAAAGGGTTATTCGACCCATAGGTTGAAAACCGTTACTTTACAGGATGTTGCAGAACAGACACCATTTTTGTGAGTGGCTCTTTGTCATTTCACTAGGCAATTTCATGTTCAGTCGATTGCGATTGCTTCTGAATAGTCAGCTCTCGCTAACACTGTCGAAACCAACGCCAGGAAGTCTGCTGCCAAAATCGCCCATAGTTGGGATCAAACCCCCCATCCCCGGAATTACAAATGTATTTACAATGCAAAAGCCACAGACAGCGACCTTTATACTGTACTCAGGCAGAATAAGATTTCCAGCTATTTGTATATAAATATATTCTTGTAAAAGTACTATCATGTTATGGATGTTTGCAGAAAAGATTAAACTTTATGGAAACTTATATTTTGCTGTATATGTATAATCATTGTATGGATTTATTGCAGAAAGGATTAAACTTTAGGGAAACTTATATTTTGATGTATATGTAAAATCATTGTATGGATTTATTGCAGAAAGGATTAAACTTTAGGGAAACATATATTTTGATGTATATGTATAATCATTGTATGGATTTATTGCAGAAAGGATTAAACTTTAGGGAAACATTTATTTTGATGTATATATATAATCATTGTATGTATTTATCGCAGAAAGGATAAAACTTTAGGGAAACATATATTTTGCTGTATATGTATAATCATTGTATGGATTTATTGCAGAAAGGATTAAACTTTAGGGAAACATATATTTTGCTGTATATGTATAATCATTGTATGGATTTATTGCAGAAAGGGTTAAACTTTAGGGAAACATATTTTGCTGTAAATGTATAATCAGTCGGCTCTGTGGCTAGGTCGATGCGAACGCTTCGTAATATCGGGATGCCGGGTTCGATCCCAGCTGCGGGCCATGCACCTTGCGTTGGTTTCGACAGTGGTATCAAGAGAGCCGACCGTCTATGATTCACTGGCAAACCATTGGACTTAAATTTGCCTAGAAAAAACCACACAACAGACAGAAGCTGTTGAGGTTGGTTCTGAAGCGTCCTGTAAAGGATACGCAACTAACCTTTATATGTATAATCATTGTATGGATTTATTGCAGAAAGGATTCAACTTTAGGGAAATATATATTTTGCTGTATATGTATAATCATTGTATGGATTTATTGCAGAAGAGATTAAATTTAGGGAAATAGACATTTTGCTGTAAATGTATAATCAGTGTATGGATTGATGGTAGAAGGGATTAAATTTCAGGGAAATAGACAATTTGCTGTAAATGTATAATCATTTTATTGATTGATTGCCGAAAGGATTAAACTTCAGGGTAATACATATTTTTCTGTAAATTTATAATCATTTTTATGGATTTACTAAAGAAGAGATGAATCTTCTGTGCAATATATATTTTTTCTGTAAAGGTAAATCCTTTCATTGATTTATTTCAGAAGAGGTCAAATCATCGTGCTGTCTTGATGAGTCAAATCCTAAGGGTTACAAATGAATAATTAAAGTACCATCTTTATACCAGTGACGCATTAGATACATGATGCTTTACAAACCAACTGACACTCAGTGTTTGATGTGCTCAACATCACGCTGGCTGCCATTACTTTCCAGGTCATCACCTGATGCCCAGTTTAGGCTGGGTAAAGCTGGGAGCCAAAATTAATTTGGAATTTAGTGTGTATGTGGTCTGATTGTAGATTTAAGAAACGTTCACCGGCAGGCAAGTGTCTAGCCACTAAACTACCCACTACGAACAGCAATGATGATGAAACACAGTGGTTGTAATAAAGACGGCCCCCCCCCCCGCCCCCTCTAAAAAAATTTTTTATTAGAATAATTACAAAGAAGGTCATACATTTTCCTTTTCTTCACACGGAATAAACTTTTTTTTTCATTTATAAAGGGTTTCATCAAGCCATAGAATAGCCCTTTCAAAGATGTATTTTATACAATACTATATTCATGCTCCTCAGTTTGCCATATTGGCTCATATGACCACATTACTGTATAATTTGTAATAATTTGTCCCGTTCTGCCCAGGTGTAAGTTTGAGCAGGTGACTTTCTGAATGTGTTTTATTATTTTATCTTCTTCATATTCTGCATAAATTGCTAACTTAAAAACATTAGGCAGTTAGTTCTTCAATAAGATTAGTGATGCATAATTCTTATTTTTTTTTTCATGTTCACGAGTTGTAAACACAAGGAGCTTCCTTAGTTACTGGGAGTGTGCATTTATTTAATTCATCTATTCTGGGTATGGCTTCAAGGGCCCCATTTTTGTGGGGACAAAGAAGACACCCCGTGGGTCCTATTAGGTATGTTGTAAAAGGCGTCTAATTAGGAGTTTGCTAAAATTAGATGTGTCAATATAAAAGGTGCAGACATAACTATAAACTGCTACACAACACGACAACAACCCTTTTAAGGACAAACACAGAAAAATAAGTTAAACAAGAAAGAGGAGGAGGAAGAAGAAGGAGGAGGGGGATCAGAACAAGGAGAACAAGAAGAAGTAGAACAAGAGGAAGAAAATGAGGATGCATAAAAAGAATATGGGGAAGAAGAAGAGGAAGGAGGAGAAGGAGAAGAGGAATTTACTTCCCTGTTCATTTTTACTTTCAGTGAATATTTTACCAGTGTGCTTAAACAAATGCCAGTCTGCATTCATTGCAGTTTTATCTAAGTAGGTTAATACTTTCTTTTACTATTTCAAAGTCATGAGTAACATTTAATTTACAGTCCCTTTGCAGAAAATTATAATACAAAACAAGCAGCTAACACAGCAGTCAAAACTCTTACCATGACAATAAACACACAAATGTAGGCAGCAACTCCAACCAATGCCCAGACACCCATCAGCAAGCCCACGTAGATGGAGCCAGCTAAAAACACCAGTGGACCACTGATGGTGAAAGGCCCATTCACCATGGCTTCAAATACTCTCTGACCATCATGACTGAACATGTTGACCAACTGGCAGACGATAGAGGCATCAACAATATTAATTTCATTTGTAAAGTATAAAGTAAAGTAAAGAGTATATGAGTATTGGGCAGATAGGTCTAGACCTATATTTTATAGACCAATCGGCACTTGGTGGTTAATATTGGAAAGTACAAAATAAATTTAAAATACAATTCTGTAGCATCTCCACAATGTATCATCTGTTAACTACGGGAATTCCCCCTGTGGGTTCCGGGGCTTTTTTGTGGAGAAAACAAGAATAGTCAAACTGCCTCCCCAACAAGCATGTCGTAAAAGTTGACTAACTGGTGGCTTTCTTTGAAGTTGGAGTGCGTCTTTAAGAAACCAACAATCTGCATACAAATCAGTCACAACTGCAAAACAGATGTGCACGCAAATCTGAGGTTTTAGAATAAGACTAAAGTCCAGAGATGGACAAACAACCATAGCTTTCCGTGGCAGTTACAGCCGGTGAATGCGAAGAAGAAAAACTATACGAATATTGTGTGGTGAGGATCCGATGTCTTCCATGGTGCGACTCTCATACCACTGACATATGAAAGCCATAACAGTGGCTTTTCCCCCTAAATTTCCTACCACATGAATTAAACCCTTGTAAACATCAAAGACTGTATTGTGAAACCATATCACTAACCTCTAAGCCACATAGACACAGTTTCAGAATTTAATAAGCCATGTAAAGGGGAATACATTCCAGGCCACACATAGTAAACTTCCCTGCAGGTTGATTATTAAAAGGCAGAGGATCATACTTCTCTGCTATCATGGCCTGCTGAGAGTGAGGGGTTTCAAGTTATGTTACGTTTTCTTTTCACTTTTATTCACATCCCTTATAAAATTCTGGAAATCTGCTTTAATCCCTATAGTCCCGTGTGGGTTGCAGTTTCCATTGCCATACTAGGGGGGGGGGGGGGGGGGGGGATTAACTTACTGCCTTCTAACAAGCTTGTTGTAAAAGGTCACTCTTTTCTTCAAGGCTGGAGCAATTTCTTAAAATTTTCCTGCGACCAACATGTTGAAAACCACTGGTCTTGAGTCTATCAACATATCAGGCTACAACTGTATACCCAAGCAAATCTTAAGGCTGTAGAGATAACATCATAGAAGTTGTCTGTATCGCACTGCCTGCCACGACAATCCAGTAAAGGCTCCAATATTTATAGCACCTTTCCTTTTGATTACATCTTTCTCTATTCCTTCTCTTCCTCGTTCATACTCATAGTTAAAAAAATATATATTTAAAAAAAATGATGTCATCGCACTTGTAGAAGATAGAGACAGAAATGGGCTGGGTACGACGGCAGTTGTTGGAATCTCTGGGGCAGCTGGGGCTGACACAAATCAGTTTCATATTCGTGCTAGGGCACACAGGTATGCAAAGACACGAGCAAGCTAATAAGCTTGCAGGTAAAGCTAGTGTGGGAGGCAAATGTGCCATGGACCTGGCTGGTATACTGAATGCTCTACAAGACGTAAGACGCAAGAACCTAGTGATGATTGAATCTGCAACCATGACCAGACTACAAAACCAGGATGTTAAAAGCGGTGTGGCCGGACAAGAACTCTCTGCATGATGCCAAAGAAGAACAAGAAACCAACATAGAACTGTTGTCATCAGCCATCCATGCTGAGAGATTTGCTGATAAGGGGATCTGAGCACTTATGGACTGAATGGTTTAATGTTCAGTGAGGATAATCTGTCTACTAACTAACTAAATAACTCATCAAATGTTTCCAAATGTTTCCCCACAGGGGACAGGGTTGAGGAGGAGCTATCAATCCTCAGCAAGTACTCCTAAGGCATGGGCATTCTCACCTCTGACAGCAACAAGTCAAACTTCTGGTGACAGGACTGTTTAAATCAACAGGAGAAGGGGTGCTAGTGAGTACCTGACACCATATTACCAGACTGCTCCTTGAGTATGATCATAGTCTACGCTAGCTAAACAAGGTGCTGAAGTCAGAGGCAACCAGCCAGGAGATCCACCACAGTAACCAGGATGTCACTCACACACGAATGGCAAATACACTCACGAAATGTGGGAAAACAAAATCTCCCCACATTTGTCTTTTCTGTATAAATGGACAGAAGAAAATCTAAGTCTGAAAATACTACTTACTTCTCCAATTGTTTTATCCTTAAGACTTCGCAAGTTAAGTATTTTTTTGTATAGAAGGCCCATTGCTGCAGCCCGCCCTCTGACACCTGAAAAACAAAAAGTGTGTAATACTGAACTGAATCTATGAGATCACCCCTGACAGTGTGTAATACTGAACTGAATCTATGAGATCACCCCTGACAGTGTGTAATACTGAACTGAATCTATGAGATCACCCCTGACAGTGTGTAATACTGAACTGAATCTATGAGATCACCCCTGACAGTGTGTAATACTGAAATGAATCTATGAGATCAACCCTGACAGTGTGTAATACTAAACTGAATCTATGAGATCACCCCTGACAGTGTGTAATACTGAACTGAATCTATAAGATCAATACTGAACTGAATCTATGAGATCACCATGACAGTGTGTAATACTAAACTGAATCTATGAGATCACCTCTGACAGTGTGTAATACTAAACTGAATCTATGACATCACCCCTGACAGTGTGTAATACTAAACTGAATCTATGAGATCACCCCTGACAGTGTGTAATACTAAACTGAATCTATGACATCACCCCTGACAGTGTGTAATACTGAACTGAATCTATGAGATCACCTCTGACAGTGTGTAATACTGAACTGAATCTATGAGATCACCCCTGACAGTGTGTAATACTGAACTGAATCTATGAGATCACCCCTGACAGTGTGTAATACTGAACTGAATCTATGAGATCACCCCTGACAGTGTGTAATACTGAACTGAATCTATGAGATCACCCCTGACAGTGTGTAATACTGAACTGAATCTATGAGATCACCCCTGACAGTGTGTAATACTGAACTGAATCTATGAGATCACCCCTGACAGTGTGTAATACTGAACTGAATCTATGAGATCACCCCTGACAGTGTGTAATACTGAATCTGATGATCTGAATCATGAGATCCCCTGACAGTGTGTAATACTGAACTGAATCTATGAGATCACCCCTGACAGTGTGTAATACTAAACTGAATCTATGAGATCACCCCTGACAGTGTGTAATACTGAACTGAATCTATGAGATCACCCCTGACAGTGTGTAATACTAAACTGAATCTATGAGATCACCCCTGACAGTGTGTAATACTAAACTGAATCTATGACATCACCCCTGACAGTGTGTAATACTGAACTGAATCTATGAGATCACCCCTGACAGTGTGTAATACTAAACTGAATCTATGAGATCACCCCTGACAGTGTGTAATACTAAACTGAATCTATGAGATCACCCCTGACAGTGTGTAATACTGTGAATCTATGAGAATACTAAACTGAATCTATGAGATCACCCCTGACAGTGTGTAATACTAACTGAATCTATGAGATCACCCCTGACAGTGTGTAATACTGAACTGAGAGATCACCCCTGACAGTGTGTAATACTGAACTGAATCTATGAGATCACCCCTGACAGTGTGTAATACTGAACTGAATCTATAAGATCACCCATGACAGTGTGTAATACTAAACTGAATCTATGAGATCACAAATGACAGTGTGTAATACTAAACTGAATCTATGAGATCACCTCTGACAGTGTGTAATACTAAACTGAATCTATGAGATCACCCCTGACAGTGTGTAATACTAAACTGAATCTATGAATCTATGTGTAGATCACACCCCTGACAGTGTGTAATACTAAACTGAATCTATGAGATCACCCCTGACAGTGTGTAATACTGAACTGAATCTATGAGATCACCCCTGACAGTGTGTAATACTGAACTGAATCTATGAGATCACCCCTGACAGTGTGTAATACTGAACTGAATCTATGAGATCACCCCTGACAGTGTGTAATACTGAACTGAATCTATGAGATCACCCCTGACAGTGTGTAATACTAAACTGAATCTATGAATCACCCTGACAGTGTGTAATACTAAACTGAATCTATGACATCACCCCTGACAGTGTGTAATACTAAACTGAATCTATGACATCACCCCTGACAGTGTGTAATACTAAACTGAATCTATGAGATCTTCCCTGATAGTGTGTAATACTGAACTGAATCTATGAGATCACCCATGACAGTGTGTAAAACTAAACTGAATCTATGAGATCACCCCTGACAGTGTGTAATACTGAACTGAATCTATGAGATCACCCCTGACAGTGTGTAATACTGAACTGAATCTATGAGATCACCCCTGACAGTGTGTAATACTAAACTGAATCTATGAGATCACCCCTGACAGTGTGTAATACTAAACTGAATCTATGATCTATACTGAGAATCACCACCTGACAGTGTGTAATACTAACTGAATCTATGAACTGAATCTATGAGATCACCCCTGACAGTGTGTAATACTGAACTGAATCTATGAGATCACCCCTGACAGTGTGTAATACTGAACTGAATCTATGAGATCACCCCTGACAGTGTGTAATACTGAACTGAATCTATGAGATCACCCCTGACAGTGTGTAATACTGAACTGAATCTATGAGATCACCCCTGACAGTGTGTAATACTGAACTGAATCTATGAGATCACCTCTGACAGTGTGTAATAATACTAAACTGAATCTATGAGATCACCCACTGACAGTGTGTAATACTAAACTGAATCTATGAGATCACCACTGACAGTGTGTAATACTAAAATCTGAATCACCCTGACAGTGATACTACCCTATGAGACAGTGTGTAATACTGAACTGAATCTATGAGATCACCCCTGACAGTGTGTAATACTGAACTGAATCTATGAGATCACCCCTGACAGTGTGTAATACTGAACTGAATCTATGAGATCACCCCTGACAGTGTGTAATACTGAACTGAATCTATGAGATCACCCCTGACAGTGTGTAATACTAAACTGAATCTATGAGATCACCTCTGACAGTGTGTAATACTGAACTGAATCTTTGAGATCACATCTGACAGTGTGTAATACTGAAGTAAATCTATGAAATAAATAAATAATGTAAGTACATAAAAAGTGTGAAATAGGATAAAGGGGGAGCGGAGAATTGTAAGGTCGTTGTTTTTGTAGAAGCTTAGCAGATGTAATAGTAATCTTTAAAAAAAAATCTATTCAACCCTCATGGTTATAATTGGGCTATATAGGGTTTTATTGATTTCTCAGAGTATATACTTATTATTTTAAATATCATGTTTTTTTTTTTTTTTAATGACTAAACTGTAATTTGTTTTATTTCACATTTTGCATTGAATTGGGATGTGATTTTGATAGAAACTGTGCTATAAATAATTAGTTTACATAATAAATGGTCGAGGGGAAACGTGTTCAAAGATGCCATGGGCATTGTTTACGTAAAAAATGGTCGGGGGAAAACGTGTTCAAAGATGCCATGGGCATTGTTTACGTACAAAATGGTCGAGGGGGGAAACGTCTTTAAAGATGCCATGGGCATTGTTTACTTAGAAAATGGTCTAGGGTTCGAATCCGCATTGAAGTGAATTTCTTTCAGTCACCTCAGATCCACACTCAGTCCAGCTTACAATGGGTAACAGGTAATGTACTGGGAAATAAATAGGACTGGTGTAACTGACGACCACTTCAACCACCAAATGCCGACTGGTCTTTTTGCATGAGTCTTGTATCATGAGCTCTGTATGCTAGTGTCTTAAAAAGGTCCTTTATTTTACTTAGCAAAATGCAATATAATTCGCTACAGTTACAGACGTTTCTGTGTAATATGAACTTTTCATTTCGTAAGAATTGTCGCCAGAGCTACGGAGCACGTGCTTTGCGCTTGACGACATCTTTAGCGAGCAGCAAAGAGAGAGTAAAGAGGAGAAAACGAGGAAATGGTGAGAGAAGAAAGCAGAGAAATAGATATAACCAGATTGTGACCGGTACCATCAGTATTGGAACTTCGCGCTGGCTGCTGAAGATGAGTACGGAGCACGCTTGGGAATGCCGCGAGTGCTGTGATGTCAGTTCTTGGACTCAACTTGTGTAATATGAAAGCACACAGAGTAGCCTAAGCTTGGTCTTTGTTCAAGACAGACTGAGGGTATTATCATCAGTACATAACCCTGCAAGGTTCTGTACTCCTCTGCGCAATAGGATGGGAGTAGAAGGGTTCCAATTTCAATAATTAAAATCACTGACCATTAAAATAACTGATTCACTATTTAAATCAATAATTAGAAAAATCAATTTTCATATTTTCTCTAACAAAAAATATAAATACCAAGACTTACCGTTTAAATAATTGAAGCTAGTTGCAAGAGAGAAGGTGAAGGAACGACAGAGTTCACACACTATCAGAGTGATGACAAGGGCAACTCCAGTCATGAGGTCGGGGTTAGCAGATGATATGTGGTCTAGCAGCAGACGCAATATGCATGCCTGAAAGGGTTCATCAACGGTTATTCAGTACCCTTTATTATATAATTTGTATTTGTATTTTTTTCAGGTATTCAATTATATTATGAGTACCAGCCAACCATTTATGTAATTTTTATCTCGAGAATTCAGTATTCAAAGCAACAAGTGTATGAGTCCAAAGAAGTTATAAATAACTACATTGAGACTGAAGAAAGTAAACTGGCAAAGAGCGAAAGCTTGAGTTAATGAAACAATTGCCTACATCAGAAGGTAGTCAGAGAAGTTTTTTTGTTTTCATAAACTAACATTTAAGAAGAAGGCAACGTGCTTAAGCAGGCCAATAAGTTCAGATATCCTTATGGAAGATACACAGCTGAGGTTAAGAGCAGGATATGCCAGATGAAGAAAAAAGATAATGATAAACAGACAGATGCACTGCCATGATAGAGATGTAAGTCCTTGTTTGCCAAGCATTCGAGACTATAATGATACTCCTTGTGTTTATCAAGCTTCATTATCTTCAGTCCCTGGGTGGCAGATCATCACTTGCAATCCCGCGTGGAAATAACAAAAATAAGATCCCCCCACCCCCACCCCCCAAACCCCAAATCCAGGAAAACTGCAACCCATATTTTTTTTTTAAATGTGAGAACCACTGCTCTCAGGTGAGATCATCATCATCATGTAGCAGGTACTTTGCAGTTAGTCACTCTCATCACGGTCTGTTGAAAGAAACTCGGTCTATTGCCAGCTCTAGTGCCTCATGTACTTTCGAATTCAAGGAGCCACTTATATCCTGTGCCTACCTTCGTGTTGGTCGGCACCTGTTCCCCCACGCCACCCCCCCCCCCCTTTTTTTTTCCCACTGGTACCACGTTTTCTGCTACTATTTCGTCCAATCTGTCATAGCGCTTGATTGGACCAAAATGTTTCAACTTCGAGACAAGATGAGTTTCTTGTGATAATAATGTCGTAGCTTCTCCTTGCTTTTCACATCCACATGGATTTAGACTATGTTCTCAGCCTTCAGAAACCTTTTAGATTGCCAAGGCAAGTGAGTACCCTGCTCTGTGATACCAGAGGTGTCCATTTATCCGGGTGGATACTCGGTCCCCATAGCTGCCTTGGCCACACCGCGGTGTGTTTATCATCCTCTCAGGTGAGATAATTATTATAATTAACTCAGTTTTTATTTACACATTATTAACAACCATTGCAATATATTGGCAGCTTGCAGAAAAGGGGAGAAACTGCACCGGGTCACAACTGTATGGGGTCCAGAAGGGGGCGGCGCCATAAAGGAATTATTTGAGTTTTGGGGTTTCTCAGCTCCATTTTAACTGCCTAGGGGCCTCCTTAGAGTTTTATAGAGGGTAAGGTTATATTGTTTAAGTAGGGTTTAAGTGCGCAATAATAATTATTATTGTGTGCTGTCTTGCAGATAAATACATTTAAAAAGGGAACACATAAACACATACTTAAAAAGAGACCGTCTATACATGCTTAGGAAAGCCACTTAGATGTGTTCCATGTTTCTGGGGGTGGGAAGGGGAGCAGCTACAGCCCACCAGTCAAACAATATCAGGCGAGGCAGGCCAGGGTGGTGCTCAAGCGCCCCCCCCCCCCGCCTACCCAGCCACTGGAATAATAGTAATAGTAATAGAATGTAGAATGCACTCATTTTTCCAACGTTATAGCAATTATAAAACATATACTTGATAATAATGATGATTAAGGACAATATCGATGTCATAAACAAGCAGTCCACCAGTACTTACAGTTCCGATAAATGAGAATGTAAAGCTGACAGCAATGACAAGGGCAGCTATCATCAACTGTTTCTTGTAGGCTGTTTTCATTGCTCGGGCCAAGGACGCTTTGTTGTGTCCTCGATAATGAAGTTCGGCCATCCACGCCTTTTCCAATCTGGCAAAGAGAAGGGAAAGTATAAAGAGACACATAATTCCACACCTCCCCCCACCCCCCGTTTTTTCTCTCCCCCTTTTTTCACCCCTCTTTTTGTGTTAGTATTTAACTGTATGCAACTGGGCAATTTTTTTCTATCTTCTTATCCTCCTCCTCCTCCTTCTTCTTCTTCTTCTTCTTCTTTTCTTCTTCTTCTTCTTATTCTTCTCTCTTCTTCTTTCTTCTTCTTCTTCTCTTCATCTTCTTCTTCTTCTTCTTCTTCTTCTCTTCTTCTTCTTCTTCTTCTTCTTCTTCTTCTTCTTCTTCTTCTTCTTCTTCTTCTTCTTCTTCTTCTTCTCGTTTTTCTTCTTCTTCCTCCTCGTGCTCCTCCTATTTTGTCTAACCTTTAAATAGCGGGTGATATCCGAACACATTCGATTTCGACAAATACTCTTTTGGTTGTCTTTTGGTCGCCACATGCTTGTGATCGGAGCAGTGAGCTTACTCCTTCAAATCCACACAATTAACACAGTGTTTTCAATATCGAACTGCTGCTCGCCTGAGCCTGAAAGTGTTGTGTACTACATCGAAGATGGTTTTTAAAACTCCAAAACTAAAATGTTAATTGCATATCCTTTACAGAACCGTTATATACTACATCGAAGATTGCCTTTAAAAACTGAAAAACAAAAATACGATATGCATTTCTTTTACAGAACCTAACAAACTAGTCTCAGAATTTAGTAGCTTTTATGTAGTCACTAGACAATTTTACATTCGGCAGTTTACTCCTGCCAATTGAACGGTTTGGTGCTCATATCGTTCTGAAATCTAAATCAAGCAGCTTGCTGCTAATTTCGAACCCTGGTATGTTGAAATTGTGAAAATGCATTCACCACCATAAGCCATAAATTCCAATATAAAAACCAAAACATACGGTATACGTTACACTTGAAGTGAACTTACATCTCGACGTTGCTTTCAGCTGCGTCCTCCTGCCACCAGGACAAGGACAAGAGGCAGCTAAAGCCATCCTTATACAGACCCAGCATGATGGTCCACATCCACCAGAAACAGGCTCTGGACACCAGTCCGGCTCGACTGATAGGCACTTTTTCGTCTCCTAGCCATTCTTCTTCACCGAACGCCCTTTGGAATAAACAAGTGTAGTGTTTGATTACTACAGTAAATAACAGGGACAAATTTACATCGGTGGCCAGTTGGAAATATGGTGCTAGTCCCCCAATCTGTAGACCAGTCGCCACTCGATGAGTGTTATGGTCAAAATTTCCTGGTACTCGTTATGGGCTGAGTCAACTTACAAACTGTAGGTCAATAGTTTAGTCTATGTTCCAGCATCTCTGCAGATGTGTGGCCCCCATAACTGCTCCTTTCCTGAGCTATTGGAAGTCACACAAAATGTCCTTCACTATCCCATTTTAAAATAGTGAAAAACCTGTCAGTGCCTGAAAAATCTTGAAGCTTGCACACGCAAAGTAAAAAAATAAAAATAAAATGCATATGTCAGCTGTCAGATGTGCCGACGCTAACGGTCCCACGCCAGAACTGAAGCTCGCCGTTTGCACAAATGGTATACTGCGAGAGCCAGCATAATCCTTACACAAATTCGAACCAAGGCAAGAGTCTAGCCAATGTGCCACTACGGCTTCCATCTTCAGTGATACTAGAATATACGTATTTAATCCTTTCTTGATAATTTGGCGTATACCAAACAAGTTTTATAAAAGAAATAAAGGGAGACTGATTAATCTGTCCCCACACCTCTTTTTTAAAATAAAAATTATGTTGTTATTGGTATATTATACTTTAATTTGAAAAGGGGGTGGGGGGGCGTTTAATAAAAATAATGTATATACCGCCTAATATTAAAATACATAAATAATAAAGTAATTAGGTGAAATAAATAAGAATGTAACCTCAATTTACCGTCTTAAGACGAGTCGAGTGCTTACTAGGATGGCAATGATAAGGGATTAAGAGGAGGAGGAGGGGGAGGAGGAGGAGGAGGCGATGTTATTGTTTGGATGGACAGTTAGTTCCCTTCCAATAAAACTTCAGGAATATAAGTTTCTGGTGTTGTTCCCCCCCCCCCCTTTCCCTGTTTATTTCCGTGTAATGAACCTGGTTGAGGCTTTATTTTCGCTATATGGACCTCCCCCCCCCTCCCCCCGCCAGAATGACACAGGGACTAAATGACTGATGAAGACCAGTATCCCTGGCATTATACAATAAAATCCGCGTTCCAAACCAGAACTAACACAGTAAGTTTAAACATAAAGTATTTTGGTCGGGACACCTACAAAACACTACCTGTCCTCCTCGATAGTGTCACTTATCGAACGACCGAGCGATTTCTTCCTGCCAGAGGTCTCGTCTGCTGCACCGTTGTCTGCCATTCGTGAATATCTTAATCATCCCATGCTATGCTGAAATGAACAGAGAGATAGAAGTAGTTTTATACACCGTCTTAATCAGCTCGTTCTATGCTAAAATTCTAGTAGGAAATCGTATAAACTACGTTAATCATCTCATAAGTTAAAAGTCGAGAGGATCAATTTCATTGCATATGGTTGTATTGTGCCATACAAAAGCACGAACTCTGTAGCTCTGGCGACGATCCTCATAGATTTCCATAAATACTGCACTCGTGAACCGAACAACACAACTGTCAAACGTACCCACAACCCACTTCAGAGCACGAGGCATAATTGGTGAATATTTCAATCATCCCATGCTATGCTGGCGGGGAAAAACTAAAATTTCGTTGTGAAAAGTTTTTGCTCATGATAATAGTTAGCCGTTGCGCTTTCCTCCATATGTAGACTGAAAAGAAATAGTTCCGTCGTCAAGCTACTGAGGCTGAGTGCCAGGTGTGACACTGTGAGCTGCGGATTTCATTTGGAATGCTTCTCAAGTGGGTCCAACGTGATTTGTGCTGTGACATGCAGATTCAGAAACGGGCGAATGACCTGTTACAAGATAACTGGTTGTGTCTTATGTTCTTAATTGCGCGTGCAACTAATGATCTGTTGTAACTGCTGCTTCCATCGACAGTGAACGGCATTTCTAGAGTCAAACAGTTTATGTTGACACTTCTGACGGCTGCCTTGAGCTTTTAATGCGTGATTATGATACTGGCTTTGCTTGGACTGCATTCTGTGTCAGCTTTTTTTTTTTTTTTGGGGGGGGGGGGGTGCTTTATTTTTGGGTTCCTACCCCAAACAGAGGCAATCCACAGGTCACGGCACAGTCTATTATTTCAGGGGGTGGTAGATAGGCTGCTGGCAGTCGAGAGACCTAGGCTGCACTCTCTCGAGGGACGTAGGTGTGTTGGGGTTAGGTCCAGTTCTAGATGTTTTGGGTTTGTTGAAAGCATCAGAAAGCCAGGAAACCCAGTCTTACCACCCTATAAAATGTTGGACTATCCTGTGACCTCATCTGGGGGTAGGAAATCAATAAATAACCGGTTTTTTTTTTTCCACACGGCACAGAGATGCACATTAGGTGATGTTTTCAATGGCATAAGGACAGAGCAACTATGGAGTACCTTGTTTGCTATAAATTTGCAAATGCAATTACCTGATTACCTAAAATCTTTCACAGAAACAGGGATCTCCGTGGCAAAGTGGGCAAACCTCGCGCTCTGCGCTCTGAAGGTCGTGGGTTCGTTTCACGGCTGCGTCGTTCAGTTCACGAGTGCACTTTTACGGAGATTCTTAGGGATCTCGCCGGAGCTATGGAGTTCGCACTTTGTGAGATGCCCTCGACAAGCGGCTAATCGTTCTGCGAAGAGAGACGGAGTCATATGGGATAAAAATCCGGTGCAATGAAGTTGATTCTCTCGACTTTTAGAATGACTGGATTTTAAAAAAAAAATCAGCATTGATTATTATTCGACAACATGAACCTTAGACATCAGGCAAGCATGCTAGTCACGGTAGCTCAGCCCTACCTAATAATGCCTCCTTCAGTTGTGTGTCGCTGGCAGGGGATCAAAACCATGTTTATCCACTTAGTCAACAGACACTCGCCAGTAACAGATTCTCACAGCTGTCAAAGGTTTCTTTTATCTGATGTGTTTTTGAGTTTGCTTTCTTTCACAAAGTATCCATTCCAATTTTAAGAGATTCAGCCAGCGCCTGAAAATAACGAAAGCGTGTTTTCCCGTTGTAAATTTGAAGGAGAAGACAAGATAAACAAGAGATAAGTGGAAGAGTAATAAGATTTCTCGTGATAATTTGCGCCTAGGATTGTGATCACAAAAAGACAGGATGCTTGGGCTGGTAAAACACACTGTTACTTTTGAGAGTGGTTGATTTTGTATTTTAGCTTTGAAGGGTTCTGCTTCTTCTTTTTTTTTTAAACTGGCTGTGAGCTATGGAGGAAAGTCCTGGTTGTTCGTCCATTTGGACTTCGTGCCAGGGCCTGGGTTTTGCGTGTACATTAATTTTACTGGCTTATTTGTGTGCATTTGGTTGTTCCTTGCTGCTTGGACAGATGCACTCTGACTTCGAAGGAAGTCCCCAATTAGTCGACTCCTACGACATGCTTGCTGGGAAGGCGGTGGGTCTGTTCATGTTTTCCCCCACAATGGGGCCCCGGAGCCCACATGAGAAGCTTTGGAAGATTTTTCCGCTTTATTTTATTTATTGCCCAAACCCAGATACAGCGAAATATCCTAGAAAATAATCAATTTTGCTATCTACTGTGTGTCTTATTTGTTCAAACTTGAAAATAAATTGAGTTTGTAGCTTCTTGGCCTCTAGGGTTTCCCCGGTGCTTTACTCTTTGAAAATAAAGTTTCTTCGTTCTTTCAAACTTCTAAACCGAAACTGAAAACACCGAAGTCAATTAGAGCCTGGCTTAAACGTTACAGATATCCACCATTCAGGGGCGTCAGATCACCCCCCCCCCCCCCCCTACCCCGCCACAAACCTCCAGCAAATTTGCCTGAAAAAGTGTAGATGTTCTCAAAACACAAGTTTTTATACTGTTATATTTGTGTCACTCGGCCGGTAGTAATACTTAATCATTATAGAGGTAAAGATGTTAAATGGACTGTCCTGAATGACCATGGGAGTGATAACCTACCATGTTCAGTCTTGATTTCTAAACTAAGTAAGGTTAAGGTTGGTATAAGTGGACCAACAACCTACTTGGACGCCTCAGACGGGGAGCATGAAAAAGAACTGCCAGAACTAATTTTCTACAGCCCCCACAGTGGACTCCAGAAGTAGAACAGGCAGGGAAGGCAAAGAGAGCCGCAGTGAAGCAGCTAAAGAAAGTACGACAGACACCCTCAAGCTCACGAGAGGAAGTGGAGATAGCGGAGAATTTGAAAAAAAAAAGATAAGGTGGAGGTTTTCAAGCGCTGTGCTGCAGAGGCCAAAAGATCAAAGTGGGAAACTTTTGTGAATGATATGGGAGGCGATAAAACATTAGGGAAATTCTGGAAACTGCAAAGGTAGATGCAAAAAAAAGATCGGCCTATGACAGTCGGAACAATTTGTAGAGACAATGGTGTGCGTGTGACAACAGACAAGGAGAAAGGGGAGGCTTTTCTCCTTAGTTTAATAGCTCAGACAGATCATAATGATGTAGACATCAGGGATGCAGTTAGAAAGGAGTTAGCCGGCACCTTGAAGAATATGCATTATGAAGACACGATACAAGTGGAAGATATCAAACAAATTTTTAAAAAAGCAAAAGACACTGATGGTGTCAGGTATGGTCACATGAAGGCTTTGAGCGATGTAGACCTGGCAGAGATTGCCGACTGTTTTAACCAGAGTATTAAGACAGCATCAGTACCGCAGGACTGGGTGCACAGCTATCTAATTCCACTAACAAAACCTTTCAAAGATCATTCAAAGCTAAGTGGCTTTAGAATAATCACACCACAAAACACATTTGGGAAGGTCTTGGAGAAGATGGTTGCTGTAAAGTTACAAGAATTTTTGGAAAGAGGGAAGCTTCTCCCAAGAGGTCTGGGAAGTTACAGGCCAGGAAATGACACTTGGGCAAATGCGGCCACTTTTGCTTT